ATCCCTATAAACAATATGGCAATATGTAGTAAAAAAATATATCTGACCAATGTATTTTAATAATTCAAGGCATTGTGAAAAGAAAAAGAAAAAACAACAAAACAAAGAGGAATTTATCTTCACGTGAGAAAAAGATATTCTATTTATCCTTAAAAAAATTATTATTTTAACATAAATTAAGAAAGTATTTAATTATTATACCATATGAGCCCTTTTTTTTGTTTTATTTTCGAAAAATGTCCTTTTTAGATTAGTGTTTAAAAAAGATTTACAAAATAAAATTTAATTAGAAATATTTTTAAAAATACAATATTTAAAATTTTAAACAAACAAATATTTTAAAACACATAAATAAAAGAAATAGATAATATTTGTAGAAGGAAAGAGGTAAAATAAAATCGACAAAAACTGTCTTTTTATTGCGTCATGTCAAAACAATTTTCGTCATCTCAACCCGTGTAAAATTCAACAAAATCTAGCTTGAAATATCCGTGCACTTGACACCAAAAATTTTGTGCGAAATTCAAAAACGCATAAAAACAAACAATACCAATGCACATCACATTTTGCTTTGTCCATGCAGAGCCAAAAATACCGCAGGCAGGATGGTTTGTTTAGTTACGAAGGTGGCGAAAATTCATTCCAAGAATGGAAAGACTCTCTTGGGTATAAACAGGGGAAGAATTTAGAGTTTTAAGTTGGAGAAAGAGGGGGGAATTATAGAGTGGGTAAAACAATTTTGTTATAACAGAATTGAAAAGAGAAAAGGAATTCAGAGAGAAATTGAAGTAAAAATAAGCAACATAAAAGTGCAACATAAAACCAGTTGCACCATGACAGCTTTTGCAGTTCTGTGTTCAAAATAACTTACCACTGGTTTGGACATCACCTGCTTCTGCCATTGTCTACTCGAGCTCCAGGTAAGCGTTTCTTTAAACTCATGTCTTCCATTCGCACCAATGTGACTTTAGGATTTTTAATAAGCAAAAGTAGTGATAATCTTTGCTATCATTTCACGATAACACTTTTCTTTTTCAATCTCACATACCCCCACACTATGATTGGTGAATGAGGAGTGATTCGGGACGACTCATGAGAGTTAGATTTTGGAGTCAATGGGTCAATTGTGGGTTCAAGTTAGTTATTTGGAGCGAAAACAGTAGATTGATTGGGAGGATTAAAGGTTCAAGTTTCACAGGACATGGTCTAAAATATTAAGAAACCTATAAGATAAAGAGGAAATCATTTGAGATTCAAGTGATTTTAGAAAGAGACAGAGATTGGGATTAGATTTCTATAGAAAATGGGAGATTTAACTAGTGAGAGAGTGAGGAAGATTTGACTTAGGGTTCTGGGTGTTCGAGGGAAAGACAAGAATAGGGATGTGAAGGCTTTCAAAGGTTGGATTACATACCTAATTGGTTTGATTTTAGGTCTTAAGGCTCGATTCAAGAAATAGGTAAAACTTAGGAATTACTGATTTGAAATAAAATAAGAGGAATGTAGGCAAAATAGACTAGGGTTTTTGATTCGTTTGAAAACGAAAGGAAAATGATTTGGGAAAGAAGATCTGGACACTGCTCGAAGGGGAAAAGCATAGAAGTAGCGGTTATTGGTTGTTCATCGATCAGGATCTTCAATTTGGAGAAGGATAGATGGGATCTAGGTTTTGATTAAGAGGCAGAATAAGAAAGAGGTGATTTACATGATGAAAAGGTGGCTTAGAGGGGAGATCCTTCTGATCTCATTTGAGTTTCTGGGCTCAAATTGAACGAGACGAGGAAGACAAAGATTCTGAAGGTTGAAATTTTAAAGTTTTTGAACAACCACTTAATAATTCAAATACATTTTTATATTAATATTATTGATTATTTTGTAAATAAATATCTACATGTATCAAATATATAAATTTTTAAAAAATAAAAAAAGATTCATTAATTAATTTTTAAATAAGTTTATTTTATGCATCGTTGTTTTATTTCTTCAATGTAATCTTATAAAAAATATATTTTTAAAAAAAATATTAAATTTTCTATTTATATTAGGTTTTTATTTAAGAATGAATGTATAACGAATAATGAATTATGCTTTTTTAATAAAAAATGAAAAAATTAATAAAATACAAAAATTTAAAGAAATAGTATGAAATTAAGTATTTTTCAAAAAAAATTATTAAATTTTCTATTTATATTAGGTTTTTATTTAAGAATGAATGTATAACTAATAATGAATTGTGCTTTTTTAATAAAAAATGAAAAAATAAATAAAATACAAAAATTTAAAGAAATAATATGAAATTAGATATATTTTATTTTTAATTTAATATATTTTAGTTGATTGATCTCATAATACAAGTTATTAAACTGAAATAAATACATTTTGATCAGCCCTTTGTGTAGCATAAAAAGTCGACTAGTACAATACAATATAATAAGATGTTGGAATATGGCACAATTGCCTTTAATAATCAAGCAAAATTCTTAATAAAGAATCGCAGATGTCATGAAATTTTTTTATAGCTAATTATCTATTTAATCCATAAAAAATAAAATTATAAAAAGTTAAGCACCAAGATAGCTCTTGTAGTTCTGCATTCAGAACAACTTACCACTAGTTTGGACATTCCTTGTTTTTGCTTCTGCTACTGTCTACTTGAGCTCCAAGTAAGAGTTTCTTCAAACTCACGTCTTCCATTCACACCAATGTAACTCTAGGATTTTGAATGAGCAATGGTAGTGATACTCTTCACTGTCATTTCACAATATCTCTTTTCCTTTTTCAATCTCACACACCCTAACACTATGATTGGTGAGTGAGAAGTGATTGGGACGACTCAGGACAGTTAGATTTTGGAGTCAATGGGTCAGTTGTGAGTTCAGGTTTGGTATTTTGAGTGGAAACAAGAGACTAATTGCCAGGATTAAAGGTTCAAGTTTCACAGGACAAGTTTCAGGATATCAAGAAACCTATAGGATAAAGAGGAAATCGTTTGAGATTCTGGTTATTTTAGGAAGAGAGGGAGATTGGGATTAGATTTTTGAAGAAAAGGGGAGATTTAGCTAACGAAAGAGTGAGGACGATTTGACCTAAGGTTCTGGATGTTTGAGGAAAAGATGAGAATAGGGATATAAAGGCTTTCAACGGTTGGATTATAGACCTAATTGGTCTGATTTTAGGTCTTATGGCTCGATTCAAGAAATAGTTAAAACTTAGGATTTATCGATTTGAAGCAGAACAAGAGAAATGTGGGGAAAATCGATGAGGGATTTTGATTTGTTTGAAAATGATGGGGAAACGGTTTGGGAAAAAAGATCTAGACACTGTTCAAAGGGGAAAAATGTAGAAGTAATGGGTGTTGGTTGTTCATCGATCAGGATCTTCGATTTGGAGATGGATAGATGGGATCTAGGTTTTGATTAGAAGGCCAGATAAGAAAGAGGTTGATTTAAATGACGAAAAGGTGGCTCAGAGGGAAGATCCTTCTTATTTCATTTGAGTTTCTAGGTTCGAATTGCACGAGACGAGGGAGATAAAGATTCGAAAGATTGAAATTTAAAGGTTTTTGAAAAACCATACGATAATTCAAGTATATTTTTATACTAATATTATTGATTATTTTGTAAATAAATATATATAAATTAAATAGATAAATTTTTAAAAAGTTAAAAAAAACAGATTCATCGGGTAATTTTTAAATATTTTTTTTATTGATTGTTGTTTTATTTCTTCGATGCAATCTTATAAAAAAAATTATTAAATTTTCTATTTAGATTAGGTTTTTATTTAAGAATGAATGAATAGCGAATAATGAACCTTGCTTTTTTTAATAAATAAATAAATAAAATACAAAATTTTAAAGAAATAATATGAAATTAGATTTTTTTTAACTTTTAATTTGATATATTTTAATTAATAAATCTCATAACATAAATTATTAAACTGAAATAAATACGTTTTATTCGACCTGTTGTGCAGCATGAGAAGCCAACTAATACAATACAGTATAATAAGATATTGAAATAGCTCAGTTGCCTTTAATAATCAAGCAAACTTCTTAATACAGAATCCTAGATGTCATGAAATTTCTTTATAGCTAATTATCTATTTAAGCCATAAAAAATAAAATTATAAAAAGTTAAGCACTAATCACATGGCCTTGAACTTAATTACTATCAGCCAAGGGTATCCGTTCTTAAAGTGCAGACAACAAGGTATTCCCAAAATAAAATTATAAAAATTGTTATATTTAATTTTTTTGTTGTCGTTGAAACTGGTGTTGATGTGCTGTCATTTCGAATATCTTGTTGGATTTCCGTTATGTCGTATTCTTGTTGTTTTCATCTTACTGTTTCTTATTTCCAACTTTGCATTTTCATGTGGTTTCCAGCACATCAATGCATTTGCTTTGGCAATCAGATTCTTAAAAATAAAAAATAAAAATCTTTCATTTTAATAATTGGATGGGATTCGGGGTTTACTTCAGTGAATATGATTACATTTTTTTAAATGAAAATGGTATTAAAAAAATTATTGGAACATGGGATTTTGGAGGCTGGAAAAATGGTCCTCCACAAGAAAACTAACCGACAAAATTTTGTTACGTTGAGTCCCCTTACACCATTCTTAATAAACATTATTTTATATCTTTTTTTTTAATTTCTATTTGATTGTATTATAATTTTGTTAGAAAATATTCGTGGAGCCTTATCACCCAAATTCAGTAACCTGTAATTCTCTCTCAAAATTTTGTATTTTTTTTATAATTGTATTTAGATAATTATTTTTACAAAATAAACTATAATTAGAGATATTTTAATAAAATAAACAATTTAATATATATATATATATTAGAAAGATGGGCAATGTTTTTAAAACGGAAATAGTAATAATAATAAATAAATAAAAGTCTCCCTCGCGAGTCACCTTTCAGCAAAAAAGGAATGAAAAAAAAAAAAAAAATGTAGGGACACAATGCATCATTAAAGAGCGACATCTCCTGCATGTTTGTCTACTCTAAATCCACCCTCTTCCGATTGCCTGTAATCACCCACTTTCTGCATTTCAACATGGGAACCTGGTTCCTCATCCTCATTTCTACCTTTCTATCCCTCTCCATCTCCGTCCTCCTCAAATTCATTTTCAGGCGCCTGTGCTTTATCAACAAGAACCCCCCTCACCACAAACTTCCTCCAGGTCCCCAGCCCTTTCCAATAATCAGCAGCTTCCTATGGCTCCGGATGTCTTCCTCTAATATGCTGTCAAACCTCAAATCCCTTCATGCCAAGTTAGGCCCAATTGTAACCATCTACTTTGGCACTCGCCCTACCATCTTTATAGCTGACCGTTCCCTCGCTCATAAGGCCTTAATCCAAAATGGTGCCATTTTTTCTGACCGTCCACCAACTTCTGCTACTACAAGTATTGTTAGTAGAATTGTTGGTCTTTCTTTCTATGGCCCGACTTGGCGTCTCCTACGGCGTAACCTTACAGAAAATATGCTCAACCCTTCCTGTGTGAAATCTTACTCTCATTCGCGCTGGAGGGTGCTGCAGATCCTTAAGAATCGCCTCGAGTCTCAGGCTGAATCTGGTTATCCAGTTGTTGTTAGGGATCACTTTCAATATGCCATGTTTTGTCTTTTGTGCATAATGTGTTATGGTGATAACGTTGATGAAATTCAGATAAAAGTAATCAAGGAGGTTCAGGAACGAACGTTGTGTAATTCCCACAAGTTTGATATACTCAATTTCTGGCCAACGCTGACCAAGATCTTGCTGCGTAGACGTTGGAAGGAATTCTTGCAGCTCCATAAAAACCGACAGGATGCATCAATTCCACTTAGACGAGCAAGAAAAAAGTTGCGAGAGGAGAGAACAAGCAAAAGTAGTAAAAGCACCAAAGAATATGAGCATGTTGTATCCTATATTGATACATTATTGGCTCTGGAATTTCCTGACGAGAAAAGAAAACTAAATGAGGATGAAATTGCTAATTTATGCCACGAATTTCTTATTGCAGGAACTCGTACTACTTCAACTGCCCTGGAATGGATCATGGCTAATTTGGTTAAGTACCCACAAATACAAGAAAAGTTATTCATGGAGATTAAAGGGGTTGTGGGAAATGGAAACGAAGAGATACAAGAAGGGGATGTGCAAAAGATGTCATATTTGAAAGCGGTGATATTGGAAGGCCTGAGGAGGCATCCTCCTGAACATTTTGTGGTACCACATGCAGTGACCAAAGATGTTGTTTTGGATGAATATTTGATACCCAAGAACGCAAGCATAAATTTTATGGTTGCTGAGATGGGGTTGGATCCAAAGGTATGGGAGGATCCTATGGCATTCAAGCCTGATAGGATTTTGAAAATTGGAAGCCAAGAACTTGATATTACAGGCAGTAGAGAGATTAAAATGATGCCATTTGGCGCAGGGAGGAGAATTTGTCCTGCTTACCGTTTAGCAATGCTTCACTTGGAATATTTTTTGGCTAATTTGATTTGGAAATACAAGTGGAAGGCTGTAGGTGGAGATGATGTTGATTTGGCTGAGAAGTTAGGGCGTGCAGGGGTACCGATGAAGAATCCATTGCAGGTCAATATATCCCCAAGGTTTTAGATTCGAAATGTGTGGTAGTTTAATTTCGCTGTAGATTTTTTTTCAAACATATCTCCTCTGTATTTGGACAATATGGATAACATGTTTAAGAAGTATGGGTCATTCTAGAGTGCCTGCACTACGCTGGTACAATCGATGCCTTCCACAGGATAGGCAAAACACTAACAAATTAAAAACATAGATGCGAACACGTCATAGTTAGAACCGCGAACAACAAATGCAGTCATAATCTCATAATCCCACAAAGAGGGATTTTGCTCAAATTTTCGCAGCATACAAAGTTCACTTCAATAAAAGCTTCTGATTAAAATCAGTAGACTCACTAATACACCCTAACAGAACATATAAACAGAGACTAAAAGCACAACAGAGGCTGATCAGAACACTACAGATTAAAAACACAACTTTCAGCCATACATTAACTTCTAATGATACCCCAAAGCATAATATTAGTAGCAACTTCTATCTCATAACCCAAATTTTGGGTTAAAAATTAAATTGAGAAAAAAAGTGTCAAAACAAAAAAAATAAAGAATAAAGAAATGAAAGAAAATTGATCAATTTTATTTTTTGGATCTAATTGTAGTTTATTTCAGAATATTATGGGCCAATTTAAAAATATTGGAAGATGAGGAAAATCATTGAAATAAATTGAGGAGGGATTAAACAATTGCAAGTAAAGGGACCAAAATAATTATTTTCAAGGGTTTAATTGCAGGAAGATTGAAATGGGAAGGGACTGTTGTGAACGTTTACCACGGACGACAGGACGAACTTGGCAAGGTTGCCACCGACGACCTGTCATCCGCCAGTGGCATTAAATGATACATTCTACTGTTCCTCTTCTACCTTTAGAAAGAACGAGGAACAGTGGCATGATCGGGATTTCATGACTGTTTGTAACAAGCTGCCTTCATCCCCACATTTTGTTTTTGGGACTGCTAGCTCAGCCATCTTTCCGCCGAAAGTCATGCTACAAAAAAAGAGAGAGCAGAGAAAACAAAAATCGATAGCTGTCACCTGTACCTGGTAGGATCAAAGGGTAAAAAATGGGAGCACAAAAGGGAAGGTTGTGATCAAAGAGGAGGACGGGTATAAACACAAATTTTAGGGTTACAGAAAAAAAGAACGGAAAGGAGAAGAAGCGATGACACAAAAAACAGAGCAGGCAAAGGAAAAAACAGAGCACGAAAAAAAGAAGAAAAAAAAGCACGAAAGAGAGAGTGGGAGGAGAACAAAGAAGAGAGGTAGCAAGAGAGAACAGAGGGGGACACAAAAAAAAAAAAAAAAAAAAGGGCAGCCACAAGAGCAGCCACAATTCTTCGATCTCAAAAACCCTAAAAAATGTAGTCAGGAGAAAATGTAGTCTCTGCAAAATAAAAGCTTGGGGGAGCCATCTCCACAGCCACCTCCATAGCTGCACCCACACAACACCTCCCACTATCATCATCTCTACCAAACTCCCCCTCCATTACCGAGTCTCCCATTGACAGCCACAAACCTGGGCGCAATCTCTCCACAAATTCAACTTGCTAAACTCAGCAGGCAAACCTCAGAGACCCACCACTCTTTCTCCCAAAACAGCCACCACGGGAACTATAGAACCATGGCCACCTTTCTCATCCAGCTGCAAGACCACCAAAGAGAAAAACCTCTGTTGCCACCATCTTCTCAATCGTACCAAACATCAAACACCAATCGTCCATATCTCCCAAAACCACGGTTTGTATCTTCTTTCTCCTCTACTAAATCCACTACCAAATTCCAGCTGCAAGCTAGCTTCGCCATTGCCCTCGCCCATCAACCACCGGTCCTCTAAATACTAAGACCTATTACTCAGTCTTCAACCATCCTAAGCTCATCCGAGGTTCTTCTTCTCTCACCAAACATACCCCTCTCTGTGCTGCACCGAAAAAAAAAAAACGAAAAAAACAGAGAACAGAGATTGCTGGAGGGTCTCTAACTGAAGCTCGTCACCCCTATCTAGTAGTCCTCATTCATCGACCAACCACCAAATTCTTACCCGGAGAAAAAAACCACACCACATTACCCCGCATAACTGTCCTTCTCCACACCTGAAACGACCTCTCTACCTCTGAGGGGTAAAAATACAAACATCTGGCAAGCACACATCCTAAAGCCATCATCCATTAATATCACCCATGTTCATAAGCCTCCAAATATCAAAGGGCCAATCAAACACAAATACCCAATCACCTCTCAAATCCTAGCTGCTTCTTTCATTTAACTCTCTCCCAAAACTGAAACCCTTTTCCCCACTTCTTCTTCAAAATCCACTATTGAAATGGCTTTCCATAACAAGACTGGGAGCCTAGTGAGGCAGTCGATTTTCCAACATGGGCAAGCTCCAACGACATTCGTGCTGAACTCTATTCACTGCATATCTTCATCGAAGCTTTCCATTGGAAGGCTTTCGTGGTCAACTGATGATCAAAATCTCAAGGATACGTCTGCTAACTTTGGAGAAATTACTGATGCAAGGGTTGGCACGGATAGAGATACATGGGGGTATCATGAATTTAAGGTTTTCTAGTTTCAAAAGAAACAAAAGAAGTAGAGGAGGAAGGGAGGTCGGGGACGTATAATCTTTTAACTTTGTTAAATTGTTTGGTTTGAGAAATGTTGCAGGATTGAGGTTTACTTTTGTTAAAAATAAAATGGAAAAGGGCTGGATTGCCCAGCCCGTAGGAATGCCAAGGGGGCTAGGCTAAACCCAGCCCACATGACCCAAAAAATGGGCTGGTTTCATCGCAGCCCAAGCCTAACATTAAAAAAAAAAAAAAGGAGGAAAGGAGAAGGATATGGGTTTAGGCCCATAGCCCATAAAAAAAAGAACAATGTTTTTAGCTTTAACTGTATTTATTTATTTATTTTATTTTATTTTAGAAAATTTATCTTAAATGTTTATTTATGCACGCTTATTTTCTGTTTAATTTTAAATGTTAATATTCTAGTTTTCTTGAAATTTTACTTAGTTAATTTTAATTAATTTTAGTTTTCAGAATTTTATTCCCACAATAAGGTTAGATAAATAAACAATAAGTGAATGAATTATCGAGTCTCCTAATTTTTAGCGATTGACGACGATTCTCTAAAAAAATAAAATATATAAAATAATATAAAAATAAAAATATATTTTAATTTTGTTGTTGATTAGTTCGGATAATTCAATGATAGATGAATTGATGAATCTCTTAATTTTTAGGAACCGATGACGATTTTTCATCGATAAAAAATAAAATGATAAAAATGATAAAAAAAATGCAAATAGTTAAATTTTTTATTAGGATTTTGTTTCAAAATTAATTTAGTAGTCAATAAATAGGTGAATTGTCGAGTCTCTTAAATTCTCAGGGATCGATGATGATTTTTCCTAAAATGTCCATATTTAGATTAATAGTTAATAAATAGGAGAATTGTCGAGTCTCCTAAATTCTTAGGGATCGATGATAATTTTTCATCGAATAATAAGTCACCTACCTTTAAATTGGCTCGAAAAATTGGAGTTTAAATCGAAAATAACTTGGCACAAATAAAAGATTAGAGAGATGGATTTAAGACTAAACTAGACATAGTACCTTTCTTAGGAAATGGTGTTTTTGGATGACCGTTGTCTTCCCAAAGCATAACCAACTCCTTCCCCTAGAACCTCTGCATCATTGTTATTTTAGGTTTCTAGTTCCTTTAATACTAGGTGGCGACTCCAAACACAATAATAACTCGCATCCTCATAAATCTCTATAAATAAGATGCACATCTCCGTAAACCTATGAAAACCTAGAATTTATCTTAGGAGTCACGTCCGACGTTGTGTAGCAAAATTCTAAATGCCACCATCCCATAAGCATTCGAATTGAACCTTTTCCCCCTTCAATAGGCCCTCGGATACTTTATGTAGGTTTAGACCTAAAGGTCGAGCAAGATCCCAATGTGCAAGCTGAGGCATCCCAAGACAAAACCCATATGCCATATGTTGATTAAAAGGTCCCAAGACAAAACCCATATGCTATGTGTTGATTAAAAGGTTTATAGAGTTGCAGAAATTCGAAAATGAAAACAAAAGAATACAATGTTACAATTGCATGCGGAAAATATCCTTATATTTTCTTTAAGATGATTATTGTCCTACTATATTGTTGTAGGGATTTTGGCAATTCTCCTTTAGGATTTAACTTTCTATCCAAGAAATTCTAGGCAACACTCTTAAAATTCATTTAAGAGAATTTCGCATGAAGTTGTAGAATTTTATGAAAAAAAAAGTTTTGGAAGGAGGAGGAGGAGGATTGTGGAAAAAAGAATTAATTATTTTCCGAGTAGTAGTCCTTTATTTATAGATCACTCGAAAACCTTTTATAACCAATATAATTATTAAAAAATAAGTTTGATTCAATGGCTAACTATTACTTTTTTAACATTCATATTTTATTTGAAATTAATTAACCGTCGAATTTGGAATCAATACAAGACGAGATGATTTCTTGGACTTCGTAGATGTTGTTTTCGTGATATCACTCTTCCTTTGCTTGTAGAAACCCTTCATGTTGCTTGATGCTATTGCCATCTCTCTCTCTCTTTCTCTCAAAATTTCAAATTTCAAATTTGTTTTTATACTTCTATCTGCAATGTAATTATTTAATACAAACAGACATAGGTCAAAAAGGTCAATGTGTACGAGTTTATTTATGCGTGTGCTTAGTGGTCGTTACCATTTGGGTTCCCGGCTTGTATTTCCCTTTGAAAACACACATTTTCAAATATTTGAATTTGTTTGTTATAGGCCATGGTTCTCTTCTTGCATTAAACCATCAAATTTTAGATTTACACATAATATTATGAGATTATTATATATTTGATGCAGAAACTTTTCACTTTTTTTATTTAAATGTACCGATTTGCAATTTTTTTATTTACATGGTTATGTTAGTTATGGCTAATTGCTAACATAGCACCGTCTTGTGCACTCTTTTTGTTAAATAGGTTAAAGAAGCCCAAAAAAAAATCAATGAAAAAATAAAAAAGAATATACAATAAAATAAAAGTAAATAAATATTGATAAATACAAACAAAAAGTAGTTGAAATCATAATTCCAAACAAAGGGTGTTGTATAAAATAATAGAATGATCGTTATTTAACGAATTCGAGCATACTCGTATTTTTATGTTTATATATGTTTTAAAGGATTGTCTCATTAAAATTTTAAATAATATATTTCTAATTAAATTTTATTTTGTAAAAAAATATTCAAATATAATTTTTTTAAAAATATATTTTAGGAAAATATGGACAAACAATATTGATATAATATCATAGTTAATAACTTATTAATCTATGTGAAAAGTCAAAAGAGATTAATTTTTTTGAAGATAGAGTAATTACTAGTTAAAGAGAAACCTCACAATTTTCATTAGATTTTCTTTCCAAGTTACCAATTTTCATGTGACATTTTAGATTATAAATTGATGATACATTTATAGACAAACCAAAGAAAATGAGAATGGTATGTTTAAGGGAAATGAGTTTTTTTTTTTTTTTTTATGGTTCAGTAGTAAAGGTGTCCTCATGCAAGTTTTCGCACACTTTGTCGCTACCCGACGTCGGACGGGACTCCTCAAAATATTAAATCTAAGCGTTATTTATTATTTACGGGTTTGGAGTCGCCACCTAGTATTAAGTAGCCAGGAACCTAAAAGTTGCACTGGCCTAGAGATTATATGACAATGAGTTGGTTACGCTCCGGGAAGATATCGATCACCCAAAGACGTCGTTTCTTAAGAAAGGTACCACATCTAGTTTAATTCTAAATTTATCTCGTAGAATATTTTATTTATTGCCAAATTATTTCCTAATTTTTGAACTCCAATTTTAAAGCCAAAAAAAAAATTTAATTATTAGGCGAGGCATCGTATTCAAACGATCGTTGGTCTTTTCCATCGGGCAATACGTCGGTTCAAATATCGGATTCCCTTTAAGCCTTCACACAACCCGTGTGTCGAAAGACATCCAGATTAAATAATGATTTTTTTGTGACGTCGGTCCCTATTAAATAGGAGACTTCATCAAAAATTTTAGATTTTTTTTTGTGACCTCGGTCCTTCGGGTAGGAGACTCCGTCGAAAATTTTAGATATATTTTTTTGGTGACGTTAGTCCCTATCGGATAGGAGACTTCGTCGAAATTTTTAGATATATTTTTTTAGTGGTATCGGTCCTTATCGGATGGGAGACTTCGTCAAAAATTTTAGATTTTTTTTTCATTAATCTAATAACATACAAAAAACGAAATTAAAACATCAACTCTAAATTAATGCAAGAAGATGCAACAAAAAAAATAATTAGGCTAAAAGAGAATACAATTAAAATATTAAAGAAAATTATTTTAGGTACCCTACGTCACTTATCTCCTACCCATTCTCTTTTTCTTTTTTCCTTTTTATTTTAATTTTTTTCAGGAGACTGATTCCAACTTCTCTTCCCTTGCATTTTTTTTTTTTTTAATTTGGGATAAAGTTGGACTGACAGCCTTCTCATTTTTTATTTCTTTATGTGGGTAGAAGGGCACGGGCTGAGTCCAGCCCCTTTTGTTGTTTTTTTTTTTTTTGGTTGTTTGTATGATGATCGAGCTGGACCTCAAGACCGCAAACAATTCCCACCTTTCGTAACCTTTCATTTTTAGATCAAAACAGTCATTTTCAAGCTTTTGACCCGTTCTCCCTCTTGTTCTTGATGTTCTTAACTTTCTCTCTCGATTCATCATCATTTTGCAGGCATTGAAATTCCATTTTGTATTAAAACAAAACATTTGACTAGAACATCATACTTTACTCCACTATAATCAATAATCTAAAGTTTAACAACAACAATCAAATTATTGAAAGTGAGAGGAATTGAAAACTGGGGAGAAAGAAGGAAAAAAAACATGAACACACTGATTGAGTGGAGGATCGTTATATACTGGACAAGAGATGAAAATTTGAGGTGGTTTCTGGAGGACCTAAGGATTTTTCGAACGCTCAAACGAATTCACAATTCAGAGATTAGAATTCGACAGTGGGATGAACGCCAAGAAGCAAAACCCAGCACCAAGAACATTCAAACGCTGTCCAGAAAATTTGTTGAGAAAAATCCAAGAAAAAATGTTAATTAAAACTTCATATCCAGAAATTGAAGTTAAGAAACTTGTGATGATTTAACCCAAACCCAGAAAGATCGAGTAATGAGTCCAAAAGAGGATGAACTCGAGCCTAGAAATGAAGAACACGAAGAACACTCAACCCAAAAAACCCAAAAAACGCATAATCCAATTTTGTCTATTCCAAATCCTTTTTCTTTGCTTTTCACTCCCTCTCAACCCAGATTTTTTCCTCCCCTTTTCTCTGAAATTAGACCCGTTTTATTGCCACAAACTTCCTCAAATTTCTCTTAGAATCAAAATCTCAATCCCAAATTTTTCTGCCAACATATCAGATTTGATTCGGTTAGTTAACCAACAAGGGCAGGAATAAGTGATTGCATGATTCCCTGTTGGTATCGATTTTGGCTGAGAATCCATGATTGATTCCAAATCAAAACAGAAAATTTGGTGGAAGATTTGAAAGATCTTCCAAAAGATTTTCGGACAGGATCAAATTTGGAGTGGACAACAGGTTGTCCCCTCAGTCATTCCTGTCGTTCACTCTGAGATTCTAATTTGGTCCCTGTGAATTTCAATTGTCAGCAATCATGCTTTTTTTGATACAATTTCAGTCTTTGTAAAGTTCAATCCTGTCAATTGGGTCCCTATAATGTGTAATTTTGGTTCTGAATTTTTCAATTGACTCGATTTTACCTTTAATTTTCTCAATTATACTTTCTTTCAAATGCAATCGTGCTCCTAAATGAATTTTTTTATGTTTTTCGTCATTTTTTATTTTTTTGGTTTTTTGTAGTAAACTCCAACGTGAAATAAAAATACAACAAGATATAAATAAATAATAAAACAAACATAAATAAAATTAAATGGATAAAATAAAATAAAATGAGTAAATTTTGGGTTATTACCCGCTTCAAGATTAATTTTTTCTTATGTGACTAAGGGACACTTCTCCACACATGACCTTGGATATTCTAAGAATATACGAGTTTCATGTTAGAAAAAAAGAGTCAATTATTAGGAATTCTTGATCGTGGTTCTCACCAACCTGTTGGAGATCTTCATTTTCTTCACTCGTGTTTGGTAGAATTTTGAGAAAAAAATCTAATGGGGGTAACACTTAATCTCAAAAATCAATTTAAGTGAAGTTAGCTTTGGAGAGGAAGGGATATAGGATTTTCCAAGAGGAAAAAATTTTGCATTTCCCTCTTTTTGTTATTTTGAATTTTGTTTTTAATTATTTACACTATCTGTTCTTCAATCTCACATTGAGAACCACAAATGCATATCTTTTTTTTCTATTGTCATCTAATTTAAAATTTTATTTGACTCGTTTTGAGACTATAATTTAAAAATGAAAGAGTAGTTTATTATTTAATTATTTATTTGGTTAATTCAATTTACTTGGCTGGTCTATCCAATTTAGCTTAATTTAAAACTTTGTAACTAAATCTTCTAAAAAAATGTTGCAACTAAGATAGTTTATAATGGTTAAATTTGTAGCAGTGTCTTAGCTATATAATAATTCTATTTTATAGATATTATTTATTTATTTATTCCAGTTAAAAGAAAAGAAAATTTAAGTGGGGAAACTGAGGTTTTATTTATTTATTTAATATCATGTTCAAGTTCTAGTAGAAATTTTGCAACGTATAAAAAGAAGAGTAATGTTTTATGGGGGATGCAATTTGAAAAAATAAAAGGATAAATTATCCCTATATATGAACAATATGGCAATATGTAGTTAAAAATATATCTGGCCAATGTATTGTAATAATTCAAGGCACTGTGAAAAGAAAAAGGAAAAAAAAACAAAACAAAGAGAAATTTATCTTCAAGTGAAAAAAAGAAAAGAAAGATATTCTATTTGTCCTAAAAAGATTTTTATTTTAACATAAATTAAGAAAGTATTTAAGTATTATACCATATAAGTCCTTTTTTGTTTTATTTTCCTAAAATGTCCTTTTTTAGATTAGTATTTAAACAATTTTTTACAAAATAAACTTTAATTGGAAATATTTTAAAAAAATACAATGTTTAAAATTTTAATCAAATAAATATTTTAAAACACATAAATAAAAGAAAAAGACAATTTTTGTAGAAGGAAAGACAGATTGTCTTTTTATCGCGTCATGTCAAAACAACTTTCGTCATCTAAACGCCTGTAAAATTCAACAAATCTAGCTTGAAATATTCTTACACATGACACCGAAAATCCAACAAAATTACGCCGACAATTGACCTTAAATCGGAAAGCAAGCTGCCTCTTTTTGTTTGGTTTTTTTTTTTTTTTTTCCCCTTTCGATCATAAACTACTTGTTGTATTCTTTTTTCTTAGTAGACCAAACAATGGAGAATTTGAAATTTTAGAGAGAACTCGTATAAATTATGAATCTTGTCTACAGAAATTTTACTGCTGACATCATCCTATTGTTTTTCAAATTATGTGGATTCTGTAAATATCATGATATCTCCCTCTGATGTCCCTTTTTAAATGTCTTAAAATAGCAAAGTGTTCTTATAATATAATAATATAATATCATAAAAGATCTACATTACTTCATCAAGAGACAAGCCATTTCTTATACATTAGTTGACCGCAAAATCCCAAAAAAACCATACCACCCATAGCAAGTGACCAAGCGACCAACGACACATGCATCGACTTCTAACCGTCTGTCGTGGGGTGCACCACAACTTCATCCCCAACGCAATCATCACCGTTTATTTGATCAAGGATCAAAACCAACCCCATAGCTAATGCCCCATCAAAACCAGGCTTAAGGCACAAAGAGAAGACGTCCTTGCTAAGCACTACCTTAGTGGAGGCATCTACTTTGCGTCTGATCTCAGCCATTGATTCCTTCCCTGCATTGAATATTTTGCACGATCTGTTGGCAAAGGATCCTTCTATCTGGTACTCCTCACCTGGATTCCCATACACTTCCACCGTCACGCTACACCGTCCGATTATGGATGATCTTCGGACACTAAAGATCGGCTTGCTACCGTCCGTTCCTTCTCCTAAATAGCCTTCCCACCTGTGATGCAGACTCGGCCGCTGTACGTGCAAATTAACGACTTGGTTAAGATATTTCTAACATAATTACCATCATGCATTCGCGGTCCACGATGCTTCAACTTTAATGAAACACTAACCGACAAATTAACTTCTTTTTGAACAGTTAACTCACTGGGTTGACTCGGAATCATTCAGGCAAGAATCATATACGTTTCATATAAATCATGAATCCAATAAAATCCCAACAATTAGTGAAATCCCCAAATGGACACAATCCTATTAACATTCCAAATTTAAGGGGGAAAAAAGATGAGAAAATATTCCACCAGATCCGTAAAACTCAATGACTCGACTCGACTAGTTAATCGGATCAATCAAACAATTTAGAGAGAGACGACCAGCTGAGTCAACTCGTTGATACAGATATATGGAGAGAGAGATACCTTTCTTCTGACAGTGAGTAGACAGCGGCCATGAGCGTCCATGAGAACGAGTTCACCCGGATCCCGAGTGTCAGGCCCGTAAGAGTCAACTCGGAACACTAACTCACCTTTGCAATCATAGACAGTGAAGCCATCGTTAGCGAAGAACAAACAAGTTTTATGCACTGTGAGATGCTTCTCTTCTTCGTAGATGAACCCATCATCCACGACTAACCCTCCCTTCATTTTTCTCTTTTGGGCTCTTCAATTCAATTCTGACTTGAAGAAGGTGATCTCTATAAACAGGTCTCTGCAACTTCCAAGACTGATCACTCGGATTCTGTACAAACCAAGAGAGTTCCACGATAAAAAAATATTAACGCTAAAAAAATGTAGACGTTGAAGTCATGAAAAGAGAGAGAAGTGAGGTGGAGAGGACTGGATGCTACAACGGTGGTGCCCAGATAATGGTGCAATATATAATATCTATCAGTCACACAGTTTTTTCCACCATTGCGGAGGCATGGGGTCCTGCCTCCTGAGATAGATTTAATTGTTATTTGATACCTGAAGTTTATTAAAACTAACTAATTAGTCCTTATTTTTATTCAAGATTATTAGAAAGTTTCTTGGCTCTTGTTGATCATCCTCAATTTACAAATTTTTTATTTTAAAAATGCCTTCGTTCCTACAAAAAAATTCTCAATCTTCCCTAATTAGTTTTAATTTTCAATTTTTTTTCATAATAAGAAATAAATAAATTGGAAGAGTTCTTGAAATTAATGAAAGAATTAGCTTGTAAATAATTTTTTAAATAAAAAGATTAATATATAGTGTCTAAAATTTTGAGTATCAATTAATTAGTTTTGTTGAACTCCTGGGACTAGGTTCTAATTGACTTGTCCAGAAAAAAATAATAATAAATAAGATTTTTATATTTATTTTTTCGAGAATATGGAATTTATTTTATTTTTTTCTCTTTCCTGGAACGGGAGAATCTCCGACGGCCACCTATTTGCGACTGGACTCGATCTGCGCAAGCAACTCGGTTCTTTGTTTTCTTTTTCGAGTGTGAACTCACTCGGGCAAGCTGGAATGGGTAAATTTTGGAATATCTAAGTGGGGCTTGACCGCATCGCGGGGTGTTGATTTTGAATGAGGTGATGCACCACCACATCAATAATTTAGAAGACAATATAATTTTTCTTTTTTTGGAAAAAACAATAAATAAATTCATTTTCATAGACTAAAAGGCTAATGTTTTTCTAAAAATAATAAGTTCATTTTTCTAAATATAAGAGTTGGTTTGGTGGTAAAATTTGAAATCCCATGTTCATGATATCTTAGATTCAATGGAAAACATTGTCTGCTTTCTAAGTGTGATGATGTTATAGCGACCCCCAAAGATAATTGAGGTCCGAAGGAATTCCTTATTTATAAGAAAAGAAAAAAGTTCATTTTTATAATTTCTTTAACAAGAAAATTCACATTTAATTTTGCTATTAATATTACCTTCTTCGAATATTTTTAAAAAATTACAATTCATCAAGTGATTTTTATTTTCCTTGCTTTACCTTTTATTTTTCTAAGAAACTTTGATGATATATTTGTAAATGTATAAATGTTCTTGCTTGTATAATTGTTTATGATTCTACTATATTGTTCCATACACTACACCAGACTTATCTACTGGCTTCAAATGAAATTATGATTGACGTTAAAGTTAAAGTATGATTTTTTATATTCTAAAAAAAATTAAAAAAGAATTCCTAGTATAACGAGGTGTTTTAAACCCTTATTTTAAGGAATTAATAGTAGCAGTTAATAAGAATGATGTAAAAATAATACTCATTTAGTTGTTTTTTCAAGAAAATAAAATGATATGTATATTTTTAGGCCAAAAGGATAAAAAGAAAAAAGAAAGATAATTATTAGTGAAAGAAATTACATACTAGAACCTTTTTTTATGTTTTTTTCTAAGATTAAGGATAAATAATAAATTTCCAATTGTACTTTTAGTTTGTTGTTTGGTAATAAAAATTGAAATGGTAAGAATAGAAATGTAAAAGTAAATTTTATTCTTATTTTATAGGTGGTCTGGTTAAAAGAAATAGAGTGAGAATGAAAATAAAATTAAACATAGTTTCATTTCTACGAGAGATGTGAGAATAAAATAATATGTAAATTTTCAAAATTTTCTTTAGAATTTTTTTAAAATTTTAATTATATTAGATTTTAAATTGGCACATGTCACTACATGATTGATCATACGTTAATCAACTAATAAAAATTAGTTAGTCCGACGAAAAAATTTAACGGATGAGCTATTTTTTCTAATGTCTAATAGTATAAGATTTATTATAAATTACATCCGGATAGAAGGATTGCAACGATATTTTCGATATAATACAAGAGTACAAAGTGCATCTAACCCATTTCCAAATTCCTAAATTTCCATTTCAAATATTTGACCCTGAAACTTCTATATAAAAATTTCAAACTCTAAGCTGTTAAATTAGTATAAGTTCCCCTGAAAACAATGACTTCTAAATTTCACCTTTTGCTTGTAGAAACTTATTGGGCAACATTTACTTCGACTAAATTGCAAAACTAGTTAATTTAATCTATCCAATTATTTACTATCGCTACACATGAAATTTTATATGCACGGATTTTTTTGTTTTAATATAAAACAAGTATACCCCACTATTACGGATAATTAGATATAATTATCTTTTAATAATAGATTTAAGTTGGTTTAATCTAAAAAAATTAATAATCGATTAAAAGGTAAATATATTCTGATGCCAGTTTAACCTAAAAAAATAATAAATTTAACCTCAAAAGCTGATCCGATAATGCTCGTTATCTGAAAATCTGAATATATATATATACGCGCTTGTAATGTATGACTAATAAAATTACCTTTAGGCCTACAGGAAAATGAAAGGGGAAATAGCAAGTAAAAGATAGCGAACCTTACCTAACGTGCAAACTAAAGCCAAGTCAAAGCTTGTGGGAAATCTGCATGGGCCAAACGAAACTCTGAATAGTCTCAAATTTTCCAACCAGTTGGTGTCAACTACCAAACGTTTCTAAATCAAAAAGTCTCTAGCAGTGAACTCTACGTACATGCACATGTTCAAAGAAGACCGGCATTTTTGGTTCATCTAAGCTGGTGCCTGGTCGCAAGCCGCGTTTTGCCAGACCCAAGCAACAGTAATACCCCTTCGCTATCTATATACAACACACACAGGATCTTATGTGACCAGAACATTCATTATTGTAACCACAATACGCAATACACTTGCTAAATTATAGCGAGGAATCGAGCATAGTTATTGGGTTTTCCCCGAATCTTTTTTATCCATTTTTATCTTTTATTTTCTTGTTTTATTTAGTTGTTTTATTTGCTATTGTTAAAAAGTAATACAAAAATGCAAAATTAGGGTACAATTGAATCGATCAAAATTGAAATTAAGGCAATTAGAAATACAATTAAATCAATCGGAAAAATTGGAGCCACAATTAGAGGACTCATGGACTCAATTGAAGAAATTAAAAAGTAAAAGGACTACACTGATGCATCTGAATGTTACAATTGAAACAAAACCTAACTAACAGTGACCTAAATCAACTCAATCTGCAAACCGCAGGACCAATTCAGACCACCCGAGTGCTTGTCGTCTGAGCTCCTCCAACAGAAATCCAACACGCCAGTTCCTACACTCTACCATCCTTTGGCTCTGTTTCATCTTCATTAACGAAGACGACAGGTAAGAAGGGACAAGGCTGCCAGCTCCATTCCTGTACTGCATTTTTTTTTTTTAACTCACAGATTAGTTGTGAGATGAAAGGCATCAATTTTTTGCTTGTGGTTTTTTTTTCTTTTCTTTTGATAACTTTGGTTATGGCTTGTTGTCAATGTGGAATTGGAGGTTGTTACGTGTCTGGCAGACTGGGGCACTTCTAAGAAAACTAAACCATAGATTATGTTCGTTTAAGGGAAAAAAAAAAAAAAGAAGAAGAAGAAGATGTGGATGGGTTCGGTTATTATTCATAGCACTGTTTACCTATACTCGTATACATTGTTTATTTTTATTATGCAAATGAGGTTTTCATGATTTTCGAGTTTTTTTTAAGCATTTATATTCAAATTTAAGGAAGAACTTGAAATGCTTTTTCCTTTCCGTAGAAACATTGTGTTTCATTTTAATTTTTTATATTTTCAAAAGATATTTTTAATCCCTAGATAGATCAAGCATGCATGATTACCTTCTTTTTCTTCTAGCAATTCATTTTAATTTTTTATTATGAAATTGAGTATAAAAATTATGAAAAATTAATTCTTTTTTTTTTTTTAATTTTTCACACAAGCTGATGACTATAAAATACATATATTATGTTTTTAGATTTTAATATATATATATATATATATATATATATATGTATATATATATACATTGAATTATACGCTCTTATTATTTAAAATTAATTTTTTCAATTTATCATTTTTATAGAAATTCTCATCAAATTAATTTTTTATTCTTCTTTTTTATGTAATTTTATTTTTTAACAAATATGATTTATTTTTCTCTCTATATATATTTTTGAATAATTTTTTAATAAATAATCAATTGAAAAATAAAATAATTAAAACAATATTTTAGAAGAACTGCTTGATAATTTGAATACAACTTTTATACTAATGTTATTGTTTATTTTTTAAATAAATATATATATATATAAATTAAAGGTACATATTTTTAAAAAGTTCATCTTATCATCGACATCAAACAAGAATTAAAAAAAGATTTATATGTTAATTTTTATACAAGTTTTAATATTAATTTTTGTTTTATTTTTTTGATGCAATCTTAAAAAAAATATTAAGACATTTTTAAAATTTTATATTAAATTTTTTATTTAGATTATTATAGGTTTTTATTTAAAAATAGGTGCATAAAAAGAATAAATTATGTTTTCTTTAACTACAACATTTACGAAAAAAATTAAAAGAACAAATTAAAAAAATATTTTTGATTAAAATTATGAAATTAATTTTATAATATTATAAAATTAGTAGTAAATAGTTAGTGTTATACATGCAGATGCATAGTTAATTTTTAATAAAATCAATTATCTCATTTTTTGTATATTATTACCATAATCAATGGGTCTAAGTGTGTAACATAAATCAAAAAATATTTTAAAAAAAAAAACACTTAAGTTTTAAAGAATATATTGTAATTAGTATATTGTTATAAAAACGACAACAAAATTGATTTTGATATATCTTAATTTTATAAAAAAAATAAATAAAAATACGTGAATTTTATTTTTTTAATTGATTATTTATTGAAAAAAAACTTATATAAAAATCCATACATAAAAATAAATAAATTATATTTATTAATAAATAAAATTATATAAAAAAGAATAATAAATTAATTTGATAAGAGTTTTCATAAGAAACAGCAAATTGAAGATGTTAAGTTTAAACAATAAGATTTGTGTTTTTTTAATTACAATATTTATAAAAAAACACAAAGAAGATTAAACTAAATACAAATTTTTTTATTCAAAATTATGAAATTAGATAAAAAAAATTTAGTTACTTTTAATTTTATATATAATTAATCAATAATATATTATAAATTATCAAATTAAAATAAATATATTTTATTCGATCGATAAATTACAGCGTAAAGCCAGTTAGTATGATTCTAAAATGGTTAAGGATTCAATACTTAGAATTAGCCTTAGGAACATAAAACGTGGATCACTCACTGAGTGGTGGATAAAAAATATCTTCTCAAAGTCTGTGCACGTACCCGATTTTTGTCTGGAGCCCTCTCATGGGTTGGGTTGGGTTAATCACTGGATGGCATTTTTTTAATGATAAACGTGTACAGATTAAAAAGAAAGAAAGAAAGAAAGTGGAAAAGAAGTGCGTGGATGTAAGGGTACGTGGAGAATGATGTAAGATTCCATTCAATACACTCGATCCAACTAAATATATTCATTTTTTTAATATCGAATATTTGTTTTGTCAAAATTTAAATAATATGTTTTTCAAATATTTTTAATTAAAGTTTATTTTGTAAAAACTTTTCAAACACAATTCTAAAAGAAATATATGAATAAAAAAGTTAATATGATATAATAATTAATAACTTTATTGATTTACGTGGAAAAAAAAAAGATAGAGTAATTACTAGTTAAAGAGAAAACGCACAGTTTTCAGTAGATTTTCTTTCAAAGTCAACAATTATCATGTGGCATTTTAGATTCTAAATTGACGCTAAATATATAGAGACAAACCAAAGAAAATGAGAATGTTATGTTTAAGGGAAATGAGTTTCAGATTAGAGCAAAAGAGTCAATTATTAGGAATTCTTGGTGGTGGATCTCACCAACATGTTGGAGATTTTCATTTTCTTCCCTCTGTTTGGTAGAATTTTAAGGAGAAGAAAATTCTAATGGGAGTAACACTTAATCTCAAAAATCAATTTAAGTCAAGCTAGCTTTCGAGAGGAAGGAGAACAGGATTTTCCTAGAGGAACATTTTTTGCATTTCCCTTTTTTGTTATTTTGATTTTTTTTTTCCTTATTGGCCCTATTTCTCCTTCATCCCTCAACCATATTATTTTTTTCCTATTTTCATCTAATTTAGATTTTGATTTGACTCATTTTGAGGCTATAACTTTAAAACGGAGGGAGTAATTTTTTATTTAATTATATAATTTGTTAATTCAATTAACTTGGTCGATCTATCTAATTTCGCTTAATTTAAAACTTTGTAATTAACTAAATCTTTAAAAAAAAATTGCAACTAAAATAGTTTATAATGATTAAATAAGTGAAACTTTCTTAGCTATATAATAATTTTATTTTGTGGATTTTTTTTATTTATTTCAGGTAAAAGAAAAGAAAAATTAAATAGGGAAATTGAGTTTCTTTCTTTTCTTTTTTTAACATCGTGTTCTAGTTCGCGTATAAATTTTGCAACATATAAAAAAGAAGAGTAATGCTTTACTGACAAATAAATAAACAAAAACCTCTTCAAACACATGTGGTTAGTACTTCTTTCATATTCGAGCAATCGTTTAATGTTTATGAGACTTACAATAATTACTTATCACTTGCCAAATTCGTTTGTATAGAGTTTTAATATGATTTGTTTACAGGCAATGCATTTTTTAAAGAAATTAATAAAAGGATAAATTATTCTTATGAACAATATGGTAATGTAGTCCAAAATAAATCTGGCCAATGTATCGTAATAATTCATCGCACTGTCAAAAGAAAAAACAAAAACAACGAAATTTATCTCCACGTGAAAAGAAAACATTCTTTGTTCTCTAAAACGCTTATTGTTTTTTATTTTTACATAAATTTAAAAAATATTAATTATTATGTCATCTCAATTTTTTTATTTATATTTTTTTCTAGAATTGTATTTAAAATCTCTTATAAAAATAAATTTTAATTAGAGATATTTTAGGAAAAAAATATATCATTTAAAATTTTGACCAATAAATATTTTAGGAAAAATATAAATTAAAAAGTAGATAATTTTTTTGAGGCCGAAAATAGTAAAATTATCATAAATTGTTTTTGATTGCGTCATGTCAAAAAGAACTTCTGTCATCTCAACCGTGTAAAATTCAACAAAATCTAGCTTGAAATATTCTTACTCGTGACAACGAAAATTTAGTTTGAACTTTTGTATTCTTTTTTCTTAGTAGACTTTACAAACAATGGAGAATTTGAAATTTTAGAGAGAAGTTGTATAAATACGAATCTAGTCTACAAATTTTATTGCCGCAGATGACATATCCTATTGTGCTTCAGTCTATGAAGATCACATGATCTACTTTCGACGTTTCAAATTAGCAAATGCCCATCAAACCCAGCCTTAAGGCACAAAGAGAAGACGTCCTTGCCAAGCACTACGTTAGTGGAGAAATCTACTTTGCGTCAGATCTCAGCCATTGATTCCTTACCTGCATTGAATATTGTGCATGATCTGTTGGCAAAGGATCCTTCTGTTTAGGATTCCTCACATGGATTCCTACGTACTTCCATTAAAAATACTAATCGGTTTCTGGTGTTACGTTATATAACAAAAATATATTTATTTTAATTTAATAATATAAATTATATTATTAGTTAATTAAAATATATAACATTAAAAAAAAGTCATCTCGTTTTATAATTTTTAATCAAAAATTTATATTTAATTTGTTCTTATTTAAGTTTATCATAAATTTTATAGTTAAAACACACAACACTTATTGTATAAAATTTATATCTTCAATTTGTAGTTTCTTATAGAAATACTCATAAAATAATTTTTTATTTTTCTCGTTTATGTGATTATATTTTTTAATAAATATGACTTATTTTCTCTATGTATGAAGTTTCAAATAACTTTTTTTAAGAAATAAAAAATTAATTAAAAAATAAAATTTACGTGTTTAGTTGCTTATTCTTCATGTAATAAAAATATATTGAAATAAATTTTGTAATTGTTTTTATTATAGTCTACTAGTTTCAATATAACTTATAATTTAAGTTTTTTTAAAAATATATTTTTTTTTACTTATGCTCCACACTCTAACCCAATGAGTATATATATATATTGGTTTTATTAAAAATTAACTATTTATCTACACATATAACACAAACCATTTACTATTAATTTTTTTAATATCCTAAAATTAATTTCATAATTTTTAATCAAAGTTTTGTATTTAACTTATTCTTTTTAGTGTTTTTCGTAGATTTTTTCAATAAAAAAAAACATGATTTGTTCTTCCTTATACATTCATTTTTAAATAAAAATATATAATAATCTAAATAAAAAAATTTAATAAATAATTTAAAAAACATCTAAATATTTTTTTTATAAGAATGCATCGAAGAAATAAAAAAATTAATATAAAAACTTATATAAAATCATGTTGATGAGAAGATTAACTTTTTAAAAATATATACATTTGATTTATATATATTTATTAAAAAATAATCTATAATAATGGTATAAAAAATTGTATTTGAATTGTTTGGTTGTTCTTCTAAAATATTGTATTAATTATTTTATTTGAAAAAATAATTCTAGAATATTTAAAAAATAGCAAATGGTTGATGTTACGTGTGTAGATGCATAGTTAATTTTTAATAAAATAAATAATTTTAATTTTTTATATATATACACCATAACTATGCTCAGTGAATTAGAGTGTGCAACATAAATTAGAAAATATTTATAAAAAACTTAAATTATAAAAAATATATAGAAATTAATAAACTATAGTAAAAATAACTAAAATATTATTTTGATAAATTTTGATTATAAAAAGAATAAACAAATAAAATAAATAAATTTATTTTTTAATTAATTATTTATTTAAAAAACTTATTCAAAAATCCATACATAAAAAAAATAAATATATTTATTAATAAATAAAATTACATACAAAATTAATTTGAGAAGAATTTTCATAAGGAATGAAAAACTCGGATATATCAATTTTAAATAATATGAGTAGTATAATTCGACATATATATTTATTTTAAAATTTAAAAACATATCGTATATATTTCATAACCACCGATCTGTATGAAAATTTTTTAAAAAATAACAATTGATTTTTATAATTTTTGCACCCAATTCAATAATAATAATAAAAAACTAAAATAAATTGCTGGAAAGAAAAAACAAAAAGCAAGCTTGAGTGCTTTGTCCATCTAGAGACAAAAAATATTTTTTTATAAATATCAGAGGACCAAAATGAAACACAATGTCAAATTTGCATATGAATGTTCAAAAAAAGCTAAAAAATAACAAAAATATTACTGCATAATGAAAATAAATAGGACTCATGAATCTTGGTGAATAATACACACGAGTTTGGATGAATAGTATTGTGAATAGTAACTCATTCAAATTCTTTTATTTTTTTATAATATTATTGCTATTATATATTTTTTGAAATATATTATCATATATCTTTGTTTTAAAATATTTATCTCATTAAAATTTAAATAGTACATTTTTTAAAAATGTCTTTGATTAAAATTTATTTTATAAAAAAATTCAAATACAATTCTAAAAGAAATTAGTTTAAGAAAACATGAACAAAAAATATTGACATGACATAATAATTAATAATTTTATTAATTTACGTGAAAAGTGAAAGAGAATAATTTTTTTTAGATAGAGTAATTAGTTTTTGAAAAGCATAAAAGATTAAGTTATAAGTATATTTAAAAATATAGAAACTAAATAATTAGTTTTTGAAAAGTTAAGGACTAATAAATTCATTTCCCGAACGAAAGGAAGTAATTTATAATTTACTCTAGTTTCAAGAAATAAATTAATTAGTTCTTCTTATTTTAAAAACTATTATTTAGTCTTTTAATTAACATTGAGAATGCTTAAATTAATATTTTTTTTATTCTACAAAATCTCTTATTTTCTCATCAATTTTTCTATATTTTTTCATATTTTTTATTTCTTAAAATAAAAAATCAAATTAAATTAATAAAGAGCAAAAAAGATTAAATTATAAGTAGATTTTAAAATATAGATATTAAATAATTAGTTTTTGAAATAATAAGTTATAATAAATTTGTTTCTCAAAACCAAACGGACTGATTTATAATTTACTAGTAAAGAATTTAACCATGAATTTTTTAAAAAAAAAACAGGCACGGAATCTCAAGTGGTCCAAGTCGCTTACTTCCTTTTGATCAAGACAACTAACTAGCCTGCTGCCAAAAAAATGGGAATGAATATCAGAAACCAGATGATATTGTCTCTCGGGTGTTCAAATATCAAAGGCTGCCGACCTTTTTCTTTGAACGTGGGAAAATAGGTCATCCTACGAGTGGTTGTGGCATCCTGTGCTTTAGTGATGGGGAGTATGATGATGATGGTGATGACGACGCTGAGCCCAGGTACAGGGACTGGCTTCGTGCTTCCCCTTTCAAGCAATGTAAGGTGATTATGGATGCAGCTGGGAGAGGAGTGAAGGAAAAACCTGCTATAAATGACAAATATTTTACGGTAAAAAAGGGTCAAGTCTTCATCAATAAAATTCCTAACTTGATGTGTTATCAAGAACTTAATTATTTCAGGATTTGTCATAACGGGTATATTATAAGGGTCATATTTTATGGTATAAATAAGCATGTATTCCTAAATACAAATTTTATTTTATATTCTTATTATTTTAATATTTTTTTAAAAAATATCTTTGTAATATTTATTATTTTTATTATGCTTTATTTTCTAACACATGCAACATTCCAGCCTAGTAAATCACCCCCACCCCAACCAAGCTTAACAAGAAACTATTTGTCCTTACCAAGAAATATAAAAAGATACATTTATTTAACTACTTCTTCATGAGAAAACAATTTCTTCTTTATGATAATAAATAATGTTTCATGGATGGTTATCAAAATTACTTTATATTGATTTTTTTAATTATTATTTTTAAGATATTCCAAATTTAAAATTTTAGAATAATTTATTATTATTCAGTCGGAAGCACAAAATGAGTACAATTACTCAACTAAGTTTTTTATATATCAAAAATTCGAGTTCAAAACTATTTATTTAAGCAAATAAAAACTTTTTCCACTGGCATTATTATTGACTTATTCTTTTAGAACAAAACAAACATGCAATTAGGATGCCAAAATCATTCTATGTAGCCACCGTCTTTGCAAAAGCTCGAATTGCGTTGCATGTGTGAAGTATATACCTTCAGATTAAAAAATATGAAAATATTTTTGGCCAGAGTAATGCTTTTAGTAATAATAAAATCCCGGGATTAGGCGAAAAGAGGGGTGAATATTGAAAGCCAGAAGCATCTGATTCTAAGATGGTTAGCTGATGAGGATTCAATCCTTAGAATTAGCCAAGGAATAAAAAATGTGGATCACTCACTGAGTGGTGGATAAGAAATATCTTCTCAAAGTCTGCAAACTGTCAGGAAACGGAAGTTTGCCGACAAAACCAAAACCAAAAACAGGAAAGGTCAAATCAACTTCTTCGTTTTTGTCTTTTCTTTCCTTTTTTACCACCATATATGCACACATTTCACAATTTGATTTTCATTTTATTTTCCTCTTCAATTTAGTCCTTTTCTTATTCAACCTTTTCCCTGATCAATCTTTTTCCTAATTAATTCTTCATGTGTTATGTTAAGGTCATGCATCGGCTGAACCTATAGCATATACCTAAACAAACCTCTATCTCTAGTCCACGAGAAAAAAAATCTCAACTCATTATTTAAAGTTCATATCAATCACACTAATGCACAATTTATTCTTTTCGTGTGCTATTAATTTTATCGACATATTAGTATAATCTTTATTTTGAAAAATTATTCTCAACATTATCAATTGTGTTCTATCAAGTCACAAACTTCAATTCATGACCATTCTCATAAGCCACAATATTACATAAACTATTTAGCTCTCTTTCATCCATCAACAAGACATCATGAGAATTGAATTTTTTGATAAAAAGAATAACAATAAGTAGTAGGCCTGCTCACCCGAGGCTCTACGTTCTGAAATGGAGGGTCTTGCTCCCTCTGCTCAACACTCTCTTTATTTGTATTATCATTAATATCCACTTTTGGATCAATATCAATTACATGTTTTTTTTTTCAATACTCTTACGTATGTGGTAATCTTTCTTACAAAAGCAACACAAGAATTCTTTTCTAATTTTTTTTTCACTCGCTTGAACCTATCGTCTAGACTACGACTTTAAAGGGTTTTTATGTCTAATTGCACTATTTTCAAGTCTCGGTTATTGCATTTTGATCTTATATAGTATATCATAAATATTCTCTCCGACAATAATCATTGATCTCTTTGTGAGTTTTCATCTTCCACCACCAAAATGATTGTAATATCTCGTAATGTTCAAAGACAAGTATAAATCAAATTCAAGAATAAATTAGGTACATGCATCACATTCTTTAAAGTCGGTGTATAAAATGTACATGTCTTTATACACAAATTACTAATTTCTATAACACTAGCATAACTATTATTATTCATCTTTACTATACCAAAGTCTTCTGCTTTATACATAATAAAAATTCCTTTCCAGAAGTAGCATGATATGTAGCCGTTGAGTCAACAACCTATTCAACACAAAGATCTGCAATGTTACACTTATTTTTCTCATACGAGAGTATCGCGACATCCCATTGTGAAAATGAATACTATAGTGATGTTCTCATTATCTTCTTATTCTTTAATTCTTTTTGTTTTTTCTTTCATGTCTTGTAATCTCTCTTGATGCGACCTTCTCTTTCACATTGATAATAGTTAAAATTGCCACTAATTTATGATTTATCTTTTGATTTATCATGCCCAATAATTTTTTTACATATTCCTACTCCTCTCTTTGTTCTCTGTGACAAGAACTTGTGTTTCATGCGCTACCAATTCGCTTTGTCTTATTTCTTCATTGAACAAACTATCTTTAATCATGGAAATTGATAAACACATCATTCAGAGTAGAATTATCAAGTGTCACAACCAAGGTCTCTCAACTGTCTTGCAAAGTTCCTAATAGCAACAATGCTTGTAATTCGCCATCTAACAATATTTTTATGGTCATCGAGTGATTAATCAAATCTTAAAAAGTCATTTAAGTATTCAACAAAAGACCTTCTACCTTAGTATTTCAAATTCACAAGCTTTTTAATAAAATAAGTTTTATTCCGTGCAATCTTCCTTTCATGTATACTCTTCAATGTTTTCATAATTCTTGGGCATCTGTCTATTTATTTAGATATGTAGTGAAATATACTATTGTCCTCCCATTGTATGATAGTTTCAATAGCTTTTCTATGCTCTTTTTTCTAAGCATCATCAGTCTTCGATTTTGGTTTGGTTTTGCCTAATTCAATCGGATAAAAAAAATCATATAATAAAGTAAATTCTTCATCCTCGACTTCCAAATCAAATAATTAAAAACTATCGGTTTGATAATGGTTCTTGAATTATTTTAATCCATCTAATTTACAAAATATTCTAATTGTTAGGAATTTAATCCCACTATGTGTAAATTAAATTACGTAAAAAAATAATCAAGTGAAACACACACAATAATTAAGAGCAAAAAATAAATTAATTGCAAAAACACAACCACAAAAATACTAAATTTATATGGAAAACTCTGTCATAAAGAGAAAAACCATGAGACCAATTCCAAACTAATCCACTGTATATATATATATATATAACGTCTCAAGTTTTTTGGTGAATTTAAAAAGCAAAACATTGAAAATAAAATAAGTTATATTTTTAACTAAATTTATCCCACTACAAAAGTTTAGAATTTATAAAATTTTTATGCTTATCAAAATTTAATACTATGTGAGATTATCATGTTAAATACTGTAATTTTATGCGACTGTAGTGTATAAAAATCAATGTGAACTAAAAATTCTTACCTTTATTTTCTACAGCAATAAAAAAATAAAATTTTGTTTTTCTACTTCACTCTGCGACAGCAGGTCCGGCAAATGTGTTTTACAAAATAAAACTATGCTTTTTTTAATATATCTGACACATGCGGCGCAACAGAATCCATAGGAAAGGGAAGTGCCGACAAAACCGAAATTAAAATAAGACAGGTCGAATCAACTTTATGTTTTGTCTTTTCTTTCCTTTTTCACCACCACACATGCACACACTTCACGTATCGATCTTCAATTTAATTCTTTTTCTATTCAATTTCTTTCTTAATCAATCTTTTTCTTAATTATTTTTTCATAGATAAGGTGACTCACGAACTGGACCTATAATGTACACACAACATGTATGATGACATGACAAAGTTTGATGATGCCATTAGAATTTAAAACAGAGAAAGAAAGCGAGAGGGGCATTTTTTAATCATATACGTGCAAAAATTAAAAAGACAGGGAGCAGAGTGAAAAACAAGTGCATGGATGTAAGATTACGTGGAGAATGATGCAAGATTCAATTCCATATAGTTTATCCAACTAAATATATTCAATATTATGTTTTCTATATTCCAAAAAAGTTATCTGTTTTTTCTTTTCTTAATTTAAATCTATTTTATATTAAAAAAATCCAAATACAATTCTATAAAAAAATATTTTAGAAAAAAATTAACAAAAAAATGCTAGTATGATATAATAATTAATTCTTATGCTCCAAAGAGATTATTCTCTTTTATTTTTCATACAGTTTAAGAAAATTATTAATTGTTAAGTCTAATTTAGCTTAATTTAAAACTTTGTTACTAAATCTTCTAAAAAGAATTTGCAACTAAAATAGTGTATAATGATCAAATTAGTCACTTTCTTAGCATTGTAATAATTTTATTTTGTGGATCTTGTTTATTTATTTATTCCAGTTAAAAGAAAAGAAAATTTAAATGGAGAAATCTCATGTTCAAGTTCTAGTAGAAATTTTGCAACATATAAAAAGAAGAGTAACGCTTTACTTTCAAATAAATAAAAGCCTGTTCAAACACATATAGGTAGTACTTTTTTCATATTCAAGCAATCATTTAATGTTTACGAGACTTACAATAATTACTTATCACTTGCCAAATTCGTTTGTATAGAGTTATTTCTTTTCATAATATTTTAAATTCAAAAATCTAGACTAATCTATCGATTTTCGATCAAATGCACAATATGAGTATAGTTATCTAAAAACTTTTATGTATATACAAAAATTCTAACTCGATACTACTTATTTAAATGATTAGAATTCCTTTCGTTCAAGTCAACTATTTTATATATATTTATATAGATTTTTAACATGATTTGTTTATAAGCGAAGCATTTTTTAAGGAAATAAAAGGTTAAATTCTCCTTAGAAACAATATGGTAATGTAGTCCAAAATATATCTGGCTAATGTATTGTAATAATTCAACGCACAGCGAAAACAGAAACAAAGAGGAATTTATCTTCATGTCTCGTATGAGAAAACCTAAGTGAAAAAAGACAGTAAGATGATCACAAATTGTCTTTTAATTTCGTCATGTCAAGAACAGCTTTCGTCATCTCAACCCGTGTAAAATTCAACAAAATCTATATATCTAGAAATATTCTTACACATGACCACGAAAATTTAGTTTGAACAATAAACTCCAACGCACATCACACAGACAATTGACCTTAAACTGGAAAGTAAGCTGCCTCTTTTTTTCCTTTTTTTGCTCTTCTAATCATAAACTACCTGTTTTCCTTTTTCTTAGTAGACAGACAGTGGAGAATTTGAAATTTTCGAGAGAACTTGTATAAAAATCAATCGAGTCTTGTATAAAAACAATGGACATTTCATATTTATCGTGATATCTCACTCTCGTGTCCCTTTCGATGTTTTAAATTGGCAAAGTGTTCTTATAATATGATAATATAAAACGGTCTACATTACTTTATCAAGAGACAAGTCATTTCCTAGGAATACGTTAATCGAATGCGAAAAACCCAGAAAGGCAAACCCCACAGCAGATGACGACACACGCATCAACTTCTACTCATCAATGGCGGGGTGCCCCTCAACTGCATCCCCAACGTAATCATCACCGTTTATTTGATCAAGAATCAAAACCAACCCCATAGCAAATGCCCCATCAAAGCCAGGCTTAAGGCACAAAGAGAAGACGTCCTTGCCAAGCACTACATTAGTGGAGGCATCTACTTTACGTCTGATCTCCGCCATTGATTCCTTCCCTGCATTGAATATCGTGCATGATCTGTTGGCAAAGGATCCTTCTATCTGGTACTCCTCACCTGGATTCCCATACACTTCCACCGTCACGCTACACCGTCCTACTATGGATGATCTTCGGACGCTAAAGATCGGCTTGTTACCGTCTGTTCCTTCCCCTAAATAGCCTTCCCACCTATGATGCAGACTCGGCCTCTGTGCGTGCAAATTAACAACTTAATTAGGATATTTCTAACATAATTACGATCCGTTAAACTTCCAACTTTAATGATTGAATGCTTTTTAAGAAGCTCACCTGTCGCATCCCAACTTTTATTCCTAAGACAGCTTCTTATACTTAAAGAAATTAAACACAAACAAACTCATCGGCATGACTCGGTATCATTCAGGCAAGAAATCATACGTTTCATATAAATCGCAAATCCAATAAAATCCCAATAATTAGTGAAATCCCCAAATGGATACTATCCTATTTGCATTCTCCATATCGCGATTCCGAATTTAAGGGTAAAAAAGCAAGGAAACAAAGATGAGAAAATGTTCGACCAGATCCGTAAAACTCAATATATAACTCGACTCGACAAAGTTAATGGTTGTCGATTTAACAAATTTAGAGAGGGATGACCAGTTGAGTCAACACGTTCGTACAGATATATGGAAACAGAGATACCTTTCTTCTGACAGTGAGTAGACAGCGGCCATGAGGGTCCATGAGAACGAGTTCACACTGATCACGAGTTTCAGGCCCGTAAGAGTCAACTCGGAACACTAACTCACCTTTGCAATCATAGACAGTGAAGCCATCATTAGCGAAGAACAAACAAGTTTTATGCACTGTGAGATGCTTCTCTTCTTCGTAGATAAACCCATCATCCACGACTAACCCTCCATTCATTTTTCTCTTTTGGGCTCTTCAACTCAATTCTGATGTGAAGAAGATGATCTCTATAAACAGGTCTCTTCAACTTCCAAAGAACTCAGATGCTGTACAAACCAAGAGAGTTACGCGACAAATAACTATTAACGTTAAAAAAATGCAAATCCTAGAGGACGGTGAAATATATAATATCTCGCAGTTACAGACGTTTTTTCTTTACAACAATCAAGGAGTAACTAATAACATTAAAGTTAGTTACTTTGAATATATATATATAAAATAAAAAAAATTAAACAGAATATAAAAATTTTCTTATTACTTTAAATGAGTCCGAATATAATTTTATATGTTTATTTATCTCTTTCAAATAAATTCATAAAATAACTACTGTATTTTGAGTATTATAAAATTTCTCGAGGTTCTGTCTCTCGAGATAGAGTTAATTATAATTTGATGCTCGATGTTTATTAAACAAAACTAATTAGTCCTTATTTTTATTCAAGATTATTAGAAAGTTTCTTGGCTACTATGGATCTTCCTTAATTTACCTGTTAAAAAAAAAAAATTCAATCTTACCTGATTGGCATTTATTTTTAAATTTTTTTAAAATAAAAAAATTAATAAATTAAAAGAGTACTTGAAATTAATGAAAGAAATAGTTTATAAATAAATTTTTAAATAAAAAGATTAAATATATAACTTCTAAATTTTTGAGTCTCGGTGAATTAGGGTTAAAAGGACTAAACATTTTTTGAACTTTAATTCATTTTTTTAATTTATATTTTGACTTCACTTAAATTTATTTTTCTTGAGATGAAATAATCCTATGATTTTCAACTATCATCTCTTTTTTTTTAAAAAAAAAGAATAATTTTCGTTATTTTGATCTAAAATTTTGCACACACATTGTAAGATATCCAATCCATTTTCTAAAAAAATTCTAAAACTTTTCAAGATCGAAAATTATATATTTTTTTAACTATTAAAAATATATAAAAAATAGAAAATAACTTGAATGATTCCAAATTTTTAGAGATATCCAAATAAATCTCATTCAATGATTTTTATTTTGGAGTTATTTATGTAATTATTATTTTTTAGATAAGTAACAAAAACACTAAAAGATTGACTAATACTAAAAAGAAAATTCAGAGAGGCAAAAAATACAAATAAAAAATTTAAAGATCAGTCTTCATATAGATTAAAATTTAGAAAATGTTTGGCTCTTTTATCTATTACTCCCTCTGTTTCAAAGAGATTGACCCTTTTTTATATTTATATCTATTTCAAAATATTTACTTGATCAATATTTTTAATATTGAATTTTCCTAAAATACATCTATTTTATAAAGCATGATTAAATTTGGTAGATTTTTTCCTTCAATAAAGAAATGTATTTTAAAAAATATTGGTATGTCATTATAATTAATAATTTTATTAAATTTTAAATTTTGTTATAAATTAAAACAAACTATCCTTTGGGACAGAGGCAATAGGAATGGCAAAGGAGCAGGGTGGGGATCCTCGTGGGGCAACGGGGATCCCCACAGGGCACCAGTGGCTTTGCTTAATTTTTGCATCTGCCCCGCTCCATGCTACCTTATGTTATCTTGTATCAAATTTTAAACTATAACAAAAAGATAATAGTACATATAAAAAATATAATTAAAAAAGATAATAATTTAACATTATATTTAACTATAAGTTTACAACACAACTCATATTATATTAATTTGTTTTCAATCGAATAAATAATATACTTAATTAAATTGATGAAGTATCATAAATGTAATTAAAAAATATAAATTCTTATATATTTTTATTATTTAAAGATTATCAAAACTCATTCATCATAGTGGAGACTAGTCTATAGGTTTAGAGTTTATGCATATATTGAATATAATTATAATTTTTAAAGAATAGGACGTGATGAGGCGGGGTGGGTCAAGGAATTGTAGGATGGGCGAGATGGGACAAATAAATACCATCGTCATCTCATCTCCATTTAAATTTATTCGGGAGTGGGGTGCCCCGTCTCTTTCTTCAGTCATTTCGAAGAATTCTCATGTTGGTCGGAGCGAGGAGGGCCGGGATTCTATTAGCACAGGATAAATTGCCATCCCTAAGAGGAAATATCAGTTTTGCTGCAATGCTGGAGCGGGATGTAATTAACTTGTCCCGAGAAAAAGGATTTTTTTTTTGGGAGAATCTCGGACAGCTACCATTTGCGACTGGAATCGAACACGCGTAAGCAACTCGGTTCTTCGTTTTCTTTTTCAAGCCTGGGGTCAGGCAAGCTGGAATGGGTAGATTTTGGGATAGGTAAGTGGGCCTTTACCTCGTTGTTTGGTGCTGATTTTGCGTGAGTTGATGCACTACCACATCCATAATTTAGAGTACAACAATACTTTTTTCTTTTTACGTAAAAACAATAAATAAATTCATTTTCATAGTGTTAAAGGCTAACGTTTTTCTAAAATTAATAAGTCCATTTTTCTAAATATAAGAGATTGTTTGGTGGTAAAATTTGAAATCCCAGGTTCATGATATCTTAGATTCAATATCTTTAAATTTCCTCAAGCTTGTGGTCACTACAATGCAAGATATCGTCTATTTTCCAAGTTTGTGGATCTTATGGTGTCCACAAAAGATAATTGAGGTCAGAACGAGTTCCTTAGTTATCAAAAAAATAAGTTCATTTTTATAATTTCTTTGACTAGAAAATTCACATTTAATTTTGCTATCAATATTAATTCATCGAGTGGTTTTTATTTTCCTTGCTTTTGATGACATATTTTTAAATGTATAAATGTTCTTTCTTGTATAATTGTTTATGATTGTAATATATTTTTTCTTACGCTAATCTTGATCTATTACATTCAAATGAAATTATGATTATAAAGTTAAAGTATAATTTTTCATATTCTAAAATTTTGCTTTTCTTACAAAAAAAATTATTGGTATAATGAAGCCTTTTAAACCGGCCTCTTTTTTAAAAATAGTAGCAATTAATAAGAATGAAATAAAAATAATAATCATTTAGTTGTTTTTTAAGAAAATAAAATGATATGTATATTTTTAGGCCAAAACGCCCAAAAAAGATAATTATTAGTGAAAGAAATACATACAAAATTTTTTTTAAAGGATTTTTCTAAGATTAAGGATAAATAATAATTTCCAATTGTACTTTTAGTTGTTGTTTAATAATAAAAAATAGAATGGTTAGAGTGGATATGGGAATGTAAATTTTATTCTCACTTTGTAATTATTTGGTTGAAAAACATAAAGTGAGAATGAGAATGAATATTAAATATAATTTCATTTTCATAAGAGAGGTGTGAAAAAAAAAATAAGATTTTTTTCTTTGAATATATTAGTTAATTTTATTTATTGTTTAGCAACCATTTCTATCACCACCATGGTCTTTACTATTGACACCACTACCACAGTTGCTATTGCCATTAGCAGTAGTGCTAAAAGCTATTTTTATTAGTATTTAGCCATTGTCTTTTTTTTCCACCACTATACGTCACTTTTATTATAAAATCACTACCACCATCATTATTCTTTTTTTATTATCATCTTTTATGATTGTGACATCAATTTTTTTAAAAATATATTATTATTATTACTATCACTATCTAACTACCGCTACAATCATTTGTATCATTTTTATCATTATTATAATCGATAAAATTATTTTTTTAATTATCATTCTTATTCTTTTTTAAAACCGAGATATTATAAATTTTAAATTTCATTCGATTTTTTTTTTATTATTCTAAACACAATCCTTAAATGAAAATATTATTCTGATTCTCTAATTTTCATTTTTAATTTTTCTATTCTCATTTCGGATGTTTCATTATTAACCAAATGACATCTAGAATATTATAGGAAATATAATCATAAAAACGAATATATTTAAAAGAAAATCTTGAAAGCTAAACTTACTGGGTTCAGAAAATATTATTTTACTTTTTGTTGTTTATTTTTCAAAATTGTAATTGTTTGTTTGTTTTCCCCTTTTTTGAACAACTAGAAAAGAAAATTAACATGTATGAAAAGAAGTTTTTTCCTTCTTTTTTTTTTTTTTTTTTTGGTAGAAAAGCAATGTGGATTAATGATTAAAAACATCTCTGACCATTAAGCTTCACAGCCCATTACGAAAAAGCCCCAAAAAGGCAACCGGCCCAAAAAACAATAGAACTAGCTACCTCATATTTTAAACATAATTTGCCCCAGATTTATGCTGACCACTTAGCTTCCCGTTACCTTCATCAAATTATATATGTCAACCAGTGAACATGGAGTATACATTTTCTACGTGCAGAATACAACTCTAAGCATCAGGGGTTTAGCAACAAAAATTTCCCTTAAACTCTTAGAGTTACCGTCATTTAAGTTCTTTACCATCAATTTAGGTTCTTTGAATTCCAAACAATTAATTTTTTAAGTAAATGTTATCATTTTTTCAATATTTTTCATGGTTTAAAAGTCGAACGTTAATTTGAATGTTTAAACAATATCGTTTATGTATTTTAGTTTTTTTAATGGCAAAAATTATCCTTTTTTGTTATTTTTTATGTTCAAAGCGTTGAAGATAACTTGAATATTTAAACAACATCGTTTAAACATTCTAACTTTATTATACATTTTTTTATTTTTGCAAAATACGTGGTTTAAACATTTTAATTTTATTATCATTTTTTTTTTTTTGCAAATGACAGTTTATTTAAAAAATATAATAATGGTCAGTCCAAACAACATGTTGGCCAAATATGTCATGATATATCATCCTGAGGTGGTAATAAATTATCTGAATTAATTAAACTATATAGAGAGAGAAAAGAGGTTGCGGAGAAAATCAACTGAATTAATTTTACTATCTATTATTATCTTCTTGGTATATTTAAATAAAAATTACTATTCATCAAGTGATTTTTATTTTCCTTACCTTGCCTTTTATTTTTCTAAGAAATTTTGATGATAAATTTTTAAATGCATAAATGTTCTTGCTTGTATAATTGTTTATGATTGTAATATATTGTTTCTTACACTGCACCAATCTTGATCTACTAGATTCAAATGAAATTATGATTGTAAAGTTAAAAGTAAAATTTTCATATTCTAAAATTTTCTTCTTTTTTTTTACAAAAATAAAAAATTATCAGTATAATGAGGTATTTTAAATTATCATTATAATGAGAAGTATTTTAAACCTTCTTTTAAAAAATAGTAGCAATTAATAATAATGAAATAAAATTACTAACCATTTAGTTATTTTTTTAAGAAATTAAAACGATATGTATATTTTTAGACCAAAAAACCCGAAACGGATAATTATCGGTGAAAGAAATTACAATCTATAACTTTTTTTTAATGGTTTTTTTTTTTTTTTTTAAAGATTGAAGGATAAATAATAAATTTCCAATTGTACTCTTAGGTGTTGTTTGGTAACAAAAAATAGAATGATAAAAATAAGAATAAAATTTTCATTTTTATTTTGTAGCTATTTGGTTGAAACGAATAAAGCAAAAATGAGAATAATGAAGAAGGATAATAAGAATAAAAGCTAAATATAGTTTTATTTCCATGGAGGAAGGTGGGAATAAAAATAAAAAATAAAAAATAAAAATGAGAATGAGATTTTTTTAAAAAAATAATGATATATTATTTTTATTTATCAACTAGTTTTACCAAAATCACCATCTCCATTGCTGTCGCTATCATTAGAAGTGGTGATAAGAAAAAAAAATATTTTTATTACTATTATGTCATCACTTTTCATTCATCATCATTGCTACTTTTATTATACTCTTGTCGTCATTACTATTTTTCTTCTATTGTCACCTTATATGACAGCTACATTAATTTTTTTAAAAAATATATTATTATTATTATCATTATTATTATTATCACCGTAATCATTTTTATTATTTTTACTATTATTATAATTGATGAATTATTTTTTAAATTTTTTTAAAAAATGAATTTTAAAAATTTTAAATTTTATTTTGATTCTTTATTACTATTCCAAATTTTGTATTTCTATTTCAGATATTTTATTCGTAATAACCAAATGACACCTTAGAGTATTATAAAAAATATAATTATAAAATGAATATATTTAAAAGAAAATATCGAAAACTAAACTTAATGGTTTCAGAAAAATATTATTTAACTTATTGTTGTTTATTTTTTTAAAATGAAATTATTTTTTTTCTTTTTTGTACATTGAGAAAAAAAAATTAACACGCATGAAAAAGAAATGTTTTTGTTTTATAGAAAAGCAATAAGGAAGATTAAAAAAAAAAAAAAACATAAAGTAAAGGTCTCTGACGGTTAAGTTTCATAATCGTCACAAAAAAAGCCCAAAAAAATTGACTAGACCAAAAACAATAGAATTAGCTACCTAATTTTTCAAGCACATAATTTGTTGGGAAAATAGAAGGATGTTATCTGAAAAAATCTCTAACAAAAAACACCAAAATAGTTTATCAAAATTTTTATATGATTGTCTCGAGATACAATCAAGTTATTTTTTGATACCATACACGTCATTTGTAAAAATTTATGATGTAACAGATTAAATATATATTGTATGTCGTTTCGAAATACAATAAACTTAATTATTTTATCATATCCGATAAATCTGTATCATTTATAAAACTTAAAATTCAAAATAAATAAATAGTACCACTCTTACTTAAATAAAAACAACAAATAAAAATTATATATTGCTCTTGATGGAAGGACAAGAAAAAACAAACGAAAGCTTTTGTTAATAACAATGATATATATTTTGGTCTCTTTAAATAAGGGGAACAAATACAAGTTGCACACTAAAGTTTGAAATCTAAAATATAAACTGGTCACTTTTTTTTTTTTTTTATGTATATTTATTCAGATCAAAATCCCATACGTAAAGTTCTAAGTGAAAGTGATCTTTTAAAAATTATAATTATTATTTAAAGAAAAACAATAACAAACGACTTGAAAGGAGATGTTGAAAACGGGGACAACTGAAAAAGGACGTTTGAAATCGTTTCAAAAACGGTACTATGTACTGTTAGTACAGTTTTTTTTTTTTTTTTTTTTTTTTAACGCATGCCAGTCATTGAATTTGTGTTTTGATTTCTCTTAACTTTTATATATATATATATATATACATTTAGTCCATCTTTTTAGTTTTCTATCATTTATCTAAAAATTAATAATTATGTTAATAATTTTATAATAAAAATTATTTAGTAAAATTTATTTGAAGCTATTCAAAAAATTTGGAATCATTTTAGGTGATTTTTTATTTTTTATATTTTTAATATTTATAAAATTTTAAAAAATATTTTTGGCCCTTAAAAATCTTGAATTTTTTTAAGAAAACATATTGGATTTTTTTAAAAATGTATGCAAAATTTTAAATCAAATTACCAAGAATTGAATGCTTTAGAGGAAAGAGGTAATAACTGAAAATCATAAAATGTATAATTTTTTTTTAAGTTAAAGTTCAAGAAAATCAAAATGCAAATTAAAAGTTTGTAAAAGAATGATTTTCAAATAAACTAATTTTTTTTAAAAATTATCTTTTTTAGCCAAATCTTAAAAAAATTGTTCAGTCTACTACCATCTTGTATTTAATTTGAGAGGATGAGATCTTTGAAATTGAAATTTACACGTCTACTAATGTCTTGTACGAAATTCATACTCGTACACGGATAAGCAGTCTCCTATACTAGCCACAAGACCAAGAGGCAGCAGGAGTCGGAACGGCATCGTTCTTAGTTTCCTTGACAGCAGGTTTCTTATTCTTAATTTCCTTTGCACATTAAACATCAAAGAACCTGAAGTTCAGAACCTACACTACCCTTTTGACCACCAAGACCTAAATCTTTCCCCTTAAGGCTTGAGCAAGTTAATGAGCTGTGCACTGATTAGACAGCGAAAGCTCCTGAGTCTTGTCTGATTTTGATACCGATTCCACTGGCACATATCATAGCTGTAAAATGTGACAGTTCTAGAGAGAAAGCGCCGATTACATGACTTTAGCTATAAAAGCTGATCCCAAAATTAATACTCATATCAGAACGTACATAATATTACCAAAAGAAGAGGAAAAAAAAATTGATAGCAGAGATAGAGAACTGCAACTTCAACTCGAATTCATGTGCAGTCAAACTTACAACTCAACAGATTCAAATTTAAGGGGGAAAAAAAAACTCTACATGAAAGACAGGTAACAGGGCTATAGCCCCTTTAATTTTCCTTCCTTGTATATATTATTAGTAGCATCAGCAGTAGCAATGGTTCTGTTGGACTAGCTTGGTTTTTAGCCAAAACCTAGAAACGGAAAGATTTAGGAGTGCCCAATGGAACCCAAAGCCATGGCCTTTGCTTTAATGCTGCTGCTGCAGTGGGTACCTCACTCCAGCTGCCAGTACTCTCTGTTGCTCCATCTGCACATTGGAAATTACCGACATATAGTCATAATTGTAATATAATGGGGTTTGTATTTTGCGTATAAACAAAAAGGTCTAATTAAAAAGTGTTGGAAAAGTTAGCACTGTACTTGGAACAGTTCGTGCAGCTTGCTCTTGAGGTAGCAGTACTCGTGCTCTAGCAACTCCAAAGCTCTCAAGCACCTGAATTAAGAAACTCGAAACATCTCTTGTTAGCTACTCTCAATCTCTCTCTCTCCTGGATACATGTGAGTGCACTTTATAGAAGAAGAATAGGCACGAATAAAGAGGAGACATGGTGGGCTTACCCAGCACGGTTGTTTTGCTCAGAAGCAGCGCGAAAGGCAACGCACACATTTCTGACTCTGTTGGCCCCAATGCTGGAGCTACTTCCCATGAACTGATTCAAATGTATTCCCATTTTCTTGTAGTCCGAGAACTCTCTATCCATCCTGCAAAAGTACGCACCCATCAGTTTTGCATTACACGTCCATAGCCGTTAGAAGAAGAAAGAAGAAAAATCAGTGGTAGTAGTAGGAGAGGAGGATTGGATTACAATAGGCCTCTGAGATTCCGTAAAAGTTTTTCGGACTCATGGAAGTAGATATTGACAACTTCTGATACGAAGTTCGGGGAGCTTTCATCTTGAAGTTGCTGGAGCTGCAAGAATTGCTCGTCTAGCACTCCCTAACACAACAAACCCAAAATTAATGCCATAAACTCTTTAAGATGCCAACAAATTTAAGGAAAAAATTGTAAGGATCATGGAAAGGTGTTGATATATATGCCAAATACCTGGTGGAATAGTATTGCCAGCAAACGGCTCATATCGGCTCGTAACCGATCCACACCCCACCCAAGCATCCACAGAGGAAGACCCGTTTTGGCTAGCTACTTGATCCTAAAAGGCACCAAAATTTTTGATAGCTAGGGGGTTTCTTTGGAAACAGTTTTGTATTCAAGTACGTGGAAGAGGTTTAGCTAGGGTTTTATCTTGCTTTTTGTATGGATTGAGGTCCCGAAGTTCGGATGACAACTATTTAAAGGGTGCTGCTGCATTGCACCCCAACACATGCTCCAGTGAAAGAATTCCTCAAAATTTACGTTTGCGAATGTAAATTAATTAATTATCAAATAAAATATGTTCTCAAACCGAGGCGCATGAATAGGGTAACTAGAAAAGGAAATTCATCTTTATTCAATGTTTACACTTCTCGTTTTTCTTATTTTTTTATGAAAAATGTTTTATGCTTTATATAAATTAAGTAATCTATATGAGTAAAGGTTAGTTGGATTAAGATTGTTTTATGTTTCCTTCTTTTATATACACACACACCTACATGGGTTGCTTTCTTAATTTTGCTGTCTAGTTTATAGATAACGTTAGAAGTATATTCAGTCGATCATGTTCCTTATTGATCATTAGTTTTTTTTTTTTAATTCAGGTATCTTCATTTCTTATTAGAGATAAAATTAATTATGTTCGGAACAAGAATAATAAGATTTAATTTTTTTAAAAAATACGATTTTAGAATTTAAATCTTGTATAATAGAAGAAAATTCATCTAAATATTAGCTTGTTAATCATTAGACCAATAACTTGTTGGTTGATCATGGATATTTGAATCATTACGTAATTATTGTTTCCCTTTCAAATCAAGAAGTAATTAATTTTAATTTTTTTTTAGTTAAACAAGTATTTTTGTGAATTTATATTGAAATTACTTACACTCTGCATTATTTATTAAGAGTTATATTAGAGAATATCAATAAACTAAAAGTTACAATATTGGTTGAACCTCTATAAAATATATAATTGAAAAACAATGTAATATATAAAAGCATATTGATAGATTGCCCTATATATATAATTGTAATCTAATATAAATTTATCAATATTAAAAATATAACCTTGTATAAAAATTTCTAGACAAAAACCAATCTAAATATTTTTGTATACAAAAAATCCTTATATATACAATTTTTTATACCAGAAAAAAATCCAAATTGGTTAGCATGCAGTTTAAAGGGATAGTTAGATATATGGGTTTTTTGGTATGAAATTTTTTATTTAAGGTTATATAAATAAAAAAATATTTTGCTGGGTTTTTTAATAAGAGATTTTTTATTTTTTTTGCAAATAATTTTAATAAGAATAATGTTAAAAATTAAAAAATATGATTAGAAAAAAAAATTCAAAAATAGACATGAATCATTGGATTATAATTTTAAAATAGAATTTCTGAAGTATTTTCTTTTTTATAATTTTTATTATTTAACATTATTCTTTTGATAATAATTTATCCCAATATTATTTTAAGAAAGTATTTTTTTTCCTTGATTTCGAACAACAATCTTTTAAAAAAGTTTAAACCTTGAAATTTTTTAAGGGAGTTTTTAAGCCCTTGGTGGAGGCATGAACTCAGGCATGGAAAGTGAAGGCACGTGACTCGAGTGAGGGTGTGACAGAAATTTATTTATACAAGAAGGAGAGAGGGCGTGCTGTGTGGTCCTTATCGAGGTGAATGTGTGGTATCAACCGGACCAGCCCCTACAGACTACAGGCAACGGGAGGTGGTGACCTGTTATCCCCGTTCCCAGCTACTTCGCGTGCGCTAGTGCGGCGTTACACCCTCCTTCCTGCCCGACAGCTGCCTGCAGCCGGTTGCTTGTCAGTCACCTCAACGCACACATTCTCTCAGAGACTTTAAATTTTTTTAAAAAAAATGAAGCAGCAGAGAAAAAATTTACAACTTTTTTGTACATGCTGCCAGACGGACCCTCTTGCTCTCGGGCTAACTTTTTACTCCATTCACTTTTTCTCTCCGGCTCTCCTTTTCTTTCTCGAGAAAAATGTTGAGTGAAGAAAAAGAGAGCCCGGTAAACAAGGCTCTAGCTGTCGTCTGCAGTAAAGGTAGAGTTGTAGCTAGCGATGACAAATTTGAGAAGTGGGGGTTAGGCCTTGCAAGATTTTGTCTGATTAATGTTAATGGCTCAGAAAATAACAACGATGTCTACTTTTTAAAAGGGAAGTGATGGCTGTTTGGACTTTAGACCCAAATCCGAAGTCAGGGTATGGCATGCCAGCACAAAAATATAGGTGTCACTCTAATTGCACCATCAAGTAACCCGGATTCGTATGATTTCGATTTTTTTTTTCTTGTAAAAAATATATTATATGATTATGAATCCATCTGCAAGCGTTATATGCAATGGGGATCGTTCTGTCCTATGTTATTTTAAATTATTTAATTGAGTACCTCTATAAAATTGTTCAAAACAAAAATAGTACCTCTATAAAAAGAATATGGAGTCCCTTGACATTAATATTTTACATGTTTGACCTAAAATTAATAAAATTCAAACTAAGAAAATAAATAAATAAAATTATCAATCAAAATAAAACCAAAACCAATGGAAATCAAATATTTCTAAAATTCTTATCAACAGCCTTGCTGAGGCTAAAAAACCTTTGTTAACCATAATTGATACTAAAGTCACGAAGAAAAAAACAATGTTTTCTTGGACGTTGTACGATCACTTTTACAACAAATAATATTTTCTTAGTTTCCATACCCGTTTTATAATACAAGTAACTAGAGGCATTATCGTCCGATTTCATCCTTCGTTGCAACCCCTTGTTCCAAAGTCGGATTAACTCAACTATTATCAAATTACTTGCTTTTACAAATTACACACGATAAACAAAATTAATTTTTTATGTGTATTTTAATTTTATTAAAATTTTGACAAAGGTGAAATTCGGATATGAAATCTTATTTCTCTCGTTTATATACGATTATTACTGAATTAAATTTTATTTGTCTCTTTTATATAAGCATATAACTGAATTATAAATCCATTAATTGATGATATATATATATAATCAGTTTAAGGACATGTGTTAGTAGAAGGATTGAATTAAATAATTAATATTATTAAAAAGAGATGCTTCAGATTAAGTAAAATATTATAAGCTTGCGGATCAACTTGTTTTCTTTTTTTTTCAGAAAATGCATGTTATAAAGGTTTTCAAGACTTGAAAATTTTCAGCTTATTCAAATCTTTAAGTAAACCAAATGGAGTTAGACTGCTGATAAACAAACATTAGCTTGTAGGTTAGGTATAGAATTCGATTCTTGTGGTCGGCATTTTTAAAAACTTATTTTCGGATCGATACCCGAGGTCGTGTATCGGAGAGTGTCTCTCAACCACGTCAAAGGAAGGATTAGTCTCGAGATGCATAAAAACCGATCTAAAGAAACCTTTATTGTTGAAAAAAAAAACTTCAAATAGAATTCATGTTTTTTTTTTCCCCATTTCCTTACAAGTTTTATGGACATCCTTCATATATATCGGACCATGTTAAAAAATACGGATAGTTTGTTATCATTTTTGTTTTTAAAAATCAAATTTGAAAACAAAAATAAAACATTTGTTTGTTCGTATTTCTTATAATAAAAAAAAAAAACGCAAGAAATCAATTATCATTTGTCAAAATTTTACAAAAAATTAAATAAAGTAATCTTAAAAAACATGACAGTAATAGTTGTTTGTTTCATCTTTTCTGAATGATAAAGTTCAAAAAACAATCAAGGTTTTTGTTTACGTTTCAAACAAATTAGAAAACGAAAACTACAAACAATTCCAAACATTAATCTAGAAAAACTTAAACATATTGTTATAAATCTGTCATCAACTTTCAAATTTGGTTGTAAAGAAAATAACCCAATCTTATGATCATTTGCTTCTATATTACAGAGTGAATAATAAACAAGGTTTAAGATACTTATAATTAATTATCATGGAAAGGTAGATCTTACACCTTAATGAAATTAATTAATTAAATTAATTATCACAACAAATGTACTAAGAAGGTACACGTGCATTATTTTACTTATTTGAGAACCGTAGAACACACAATTAATACCTTCCTAGCTTGCTAGAATGATGGGCTTAGCATTAGTTAATCATACTCTTCTTGTGTTAGTTTTGTCTCCATACAAACCTCGACAAACTCACTGGGAAAAGCATGCCTTCTATTGACGTAAGCAATTTCTTTTCTTAATTAATTAATCATATAATCAACAGTTAATCCCTTCTGGGTTGTCAGATTATTTTCATATTTGTCGAATTAACCTTAGATTATTTCACATAATTAAAATATGTTCCACAAAATATTCTATGTATCATCTCCATCCCAATGATTATGTTTACTTGGCAGTCCTTGGGTGGCGTTCACAGTCTAAATTAGAATAATAAAACACATCGCTATTTAATTAATAAATTTTACTAGTTAATACGATTTGTTCACTTTTATTTATTTTTAATTAAAAAAAGTCCATTTATTTATCATTATAATTCCTAAAGCCACAAGGAATGAACAAAAAATGCAATATATATGTTGATAAGTTGCCCTTTATTATGTAATATTATGAAAAAAAAAAAAACTACTTATTCATCTCTCTTTTATGATCATATAGTAAAAAAAAAATGATAAATTAGTTTTTTTATATATGTTTATAGGTAATTGCGTATTTTCGAATCAATTTTCACTTTAACAAAAAATAAATTCATTATTTTCTAAATTACATTAACCTCATATCACGTTTAATTTTTTTTATCAATCATAAAAATCAGATTTAGTAAATTAATTAATGAAATTTGTTATATATATATATATATATATATATATATATATATATATATATATATATAGGTAGCAAATTTTGAGAACCGAACCCAACTGGGAACTCTTTAATTTGAAAAATAAGAAGGGAATTAAGCATGCTATTGAGTGATGTAAGCAGAATGTTTGTTTATAGGAAGCACTTTTAAAGAAGATAATACCCATGTAAAACAGGATTAATTAATAATATTTAACACAAACTTCATCATCATGCTTTTGTGCTCCCGTGCTTATGTACTATAGCCATTATTATCTACTCTCTACTAAAAACAAAACATTCTTTTTTGTCCTTTATTTCCTTATCATTGTTAATTCCTCTCTCTCTCTCTGTCTTGTTGCTTTGATATTCCAAATGTCGGGACAGTTTTCTTCTTTGCTTTTAGACTCTGAATGAATTACTTGGAAGTAGATTGGCACAGATTTTTCTACTGACTAGCTAATCTTAAATTATATGGAAAACCTATGAGGTAATAGTAAGAGGTTATCATGTAATTAATGTTATCTTTAAGGACTCATGGCTCGAGATTATTGTAACTGTTGTCTACTTCGACACTTAGATCAAATGTTCATACGAATTTTTAACCAACCCCTGTCATTATTGTACCCAAAAAAAAAAAAAAAAAAAAAATTGTGTCATTATTCATTGAATTATAAGGTTGATTATAAACTACAAATTAAGTGTAAATAGTTGATTAGCATTCCATTAGTCAAAGAACATATATTAGTTAGTTAGTCTCCGAAGCAAAATGCATTGAAAAATATTTTTTAGCTATGTTTTAAAAAAAATTAGTCTTGAAATCGAACCTAAAAAGAAAACATGTTAAGTTGATAGAACTTAATTATGGACTACATCTAAAATGACTTCAAAAGTTGATATATTGTAGAAAGGTTCACCATTCATCAATATTATTAAGAGTTTTGTCATATTTATTTTAACAAGTTTCAATTATTTATTTATTTATTTATTTAAGTGATATAAAGATATAAGTTTATTTTGTATTAATTTGATATTAATCAACTTATTATTTCTTTTAAATAAGAAGAAGAAGCAGAAGATACTGAAAATGCAAACCCCAACTCCTCCAAACCCAACCCCCACCCCACCCCCCCCCCCCCCCTCCCCACACACACCACACACACACACACAAAACGTTGCTCACTTCAAGTTTAAACTTCAAAATTTTAACCCTTCTAGCATCTCCTTGAGGACACAGCGTTGATGCTACCACTAAATTTGGAAGCATGATTTCAGTACGATCAGAAGCAAATTGTCCTAATTAAAAAACAACCGGCGGGTAGCTTATGGTTAACGAATTTATGTGTAATAATTTGTTATTTTTTAAAAAAATAATGAGGACAAGGAGCCAAAATTTTACATGCAGGTCTAGAAACTGTTCATTGCACACCAGGTCTTTTTCCATAGGCTTCCGATGTGACAGAATGGCATCAGAATCAGGCTGTAAAACTGCACTGTCTAGGGTTTGATCCTAGACTTTGATAGTGGTGTGATGGGGCTTTGACTGTATTGTAATGGGGATATCATACCTTCAAGGAGGGAAGATTGTGATGCCCCATAGCCCTTCAGGTTTTGAAGGTGACACTAATGACAAATTACTTTAAGGGACAAAGTTACCAAGTCATGTGATACTTAGAGAAGTAATTTGATAAATTGAAAATAATTAACCAGTTAATTATGATTCTTGTACTTATATATTTCGGACTCCAGAATTAGTTTTGTATAAATGTTGCAGATATCGAGTTTAAATCTCATCTAAAAAGGAAAAAAAACAAGAACTTCTCAAATTGTCATCGGCATGCTTCAATTGTTGAAAGCCATCCTTTGCTTTTGCACCTCATTTGGTAACTTCACATCAGTTGCCAATCCGATAGCTTGAAGAAACCTTACAACATACCAAGTCATGTCGAGCTGCCACCATTCCAGGCCATGCCTAGCTGAGTATTCAAAAGCATGGTGATTGTTATGCCAACCTTCTCCAAATGCAAGCAATGCGACCCACCTAATTAGACAAGTTAATCTGTTGTCAGAAAACGAGAATGACAAAAGTTTGTGTAAGAGCTTATATAAGTTATATAGATTACCAATTGTTCCTGGACAAATCACCGGTATTCCATGCTTGCTTTCCCCATACATGACAAGCTGAATTTACTAGCCAAGTGATGTGGAAAACCCACACAATCCTAACACCCTGAAATGGAATTTCAGCAATAAGTTTTCTAGCAAAAAAGATGGTCACTTGTGTAAGCCTGTACAAAAATCAACACCACTTGGTCTCTATGTAACATTCATGTTTCTATTGAGAGCTTGGAAAACTACAGGCACCCTCTAGGCCTCTACCTCTGGTTGCCTAGGCGCAGACAGTATAGACGGCTGCAGTTTATACCACACCATCTTAATGCTTTCACATTCAACATTTAGGATGTTTTTGTCATAAGGGGCTGGCAGAAGGTTGATGAAGAGGAAGGGATTGAATATGCACTTCCGATCCCTTCTCACTTGTAATTTTCAATTATTTCAATTTAGATGATTTTTTTCTTTAACTCACGTACTAAGATTCTTAACAGAATTATTTTGTTACAATTTGAATCCGTGATCTTTTATCGTAAGAGATCATTCTCACTAAACTATAAATTTTAATTTTAGACGAATTGATTCTGCTCAGTTTCCTTTTATAATTTCTAATGCTTTCAATTCATTTTTCACTCTTTTCCTTCCTAAATAACTAGATGAATGGATAACTCATCCATTATTTTTTCTCATCCTCTCACTTTATCCCATCCATCCTTCCTCTCGTCCACAACATAGCCTTAAGCAACTTGAGAAACCCATGTTCTAGTAGAGAATAAGGACAAAAATCACATGGATCATGACAGTTTAAACCAGGCCCAGTTGACAAATGGAGAGGTAAAGGCTTTCAACTTTTGTGGTCCTACAACTACAATTGATGGGCAAGGTTGGCATCACCACAAAATGTCTGGTGGAAATGATTTTTCAAAGTACAAGGCCCACCAAATGCAGCAAGATTACTGAAGTTTGAACCGAATATGTACCCAGCCACCATAATATGATCTGATTCATACTCGTAAAGCAACACTTGGAGAAAGTGAAACAGAAGTAAAAGTAAATCTATTTTGTTAGTTATTTACTGCGTTTCTTTGGAAAACAAGAAGAAAAGTGGGAAAACGAGAAGAATTCCATACCATTCCCCAGACTAAGAATGGAAATCCTCCCACTGCATATAGCATAGCTCCAAGGGCAATTGGATGTAGAATGTATGTATTTTGAAGAAACCTGTAAAAAGGTTGCTTATCTAAATCCCCAACATTGTTTGGCCCTCCACACTGCCAATAATAAGCCAACTAAAAGATCAGATTAACAAGATTTTATACTAACTGTGTATGTATTTGTAGAGAGAAGAATGAATGTACATAATACCCTTTCAGCAATAGCCTCAGTATCAAAGAGCCAATTGACATGACTAAACCAAAAGCCTTCAATAGGACTATGTGGGTCTCTCTCAGAATCACAAAACTGATGGTGGTGTCTATGAGTGCTGACCCAATCAATTGGATCCCCCTGAAGTTCAAACAGACAATCAAAAGCAATAGTCATAATCACAACCACAGTTACCAAACCTTTGAAAAATGGAAACCCAAAGAATAAAAGAAAAGAAAAGGCACCTGAAGTGCTTGAATCCCACAATATGCGAAAAAATACTCAAGCCATTTGGGAAGCTTGAAACTCCTGTGAGAAAGATTCCTATGAAAAGAAAGAGTGATGCCCAGAAGTCCAGTGATAACATAGAGGCCAAAGGCAACCCAAAATGCATTCCATGTGAAACAAAAAGGTGCGAACATAGACAGAAAATGCATTGCCAAAACAACACCAACAGTGCCTGTGTCTAATGAATTCCATTTCCTCCCCCAAAACACCTGCTTTCTTCTCCTCACCACCACATCTGACAACAAAATTTTCCCAAAATTCTCTGCCTCTGATAATGGTCCATTATCATTAGCCATTGCTTCTACTCTTTTTCTATTGTCACTACTATTATTCTTACTTGAAGCAGCCATAACACCGGATGAGTTTTCTTTTTTGCATTTCTTGGTTGTTTTTGGATAGAACTTTGGGTTATGGTGACAATTATTTAGGAGTATAGTAGGTGAGGAATTTAGTTTCTTAGAATGGGGAATAGGAGAAAAAGGGTAAGGTTTAGGTTTGGTTAATGGAGACGCTATCAAAGCCATTGAGATTTAGACTTGAGAGAGGGTGAAGGTGATGGTTTTTTGGTTTGTGGGAAGTTTTGGTTTTTCATACATATATATTGATGCAACTTTTTTTCTTCTTTTTGTGTTATTAATTGTCCAAAAAGGAAATGTTTGTAGTGAAAACAATTTGAAGAAAAAGAGATTTAAGGATGAGGTTGTGGGGCACCAAAGAGGAGGGTTGTGTTCAGATTTGAGAATTAGGAGGGGCGAATAAGAATCATAAGAACCAGATATTTGTGTGTGCAGAGGATATGGTCATTGCTTGTTTTTTTGTCTGTTTTCATGCACTTTGTGCGTTAGTAAAGATATTTCCTTATAGAAAATTCATGCTTGTGGTTGTCCTTCCTTTTATAGCTCTTCTCCTTATCTCATAGTCTCATAATTGATAGATTAAGTTTTCTTTCCTTCTTTCTTTTTCCTTGCTCTTGGTAGTTAAAGCAGAATCACACTAAAATGGCGGCAACAGGTGCGTCAATCTTTAAAATTTCGACGCAACCTCTTGTCTCGGCAAGGCCAATTACCAATACTAATGCTAATCCAACCGTCTCAAACTCTCTTGGTGAGTGCCTCTTTCAAATTCCATTGCTTTTCCTTCAGTATTGCAAACTGGTTATGGGTTTTTTCTTGTTAGAATCCTAGAGAATTTTGCAGTATCTTTCTTTTACTTACCCTCATGTTTTATTAGTGACATGTATGCAAAACAATTATTAAGAGACTAGTAGAAACGGCAAGGTAAGAAAATCTTGAATGAAATCACTGACAATTATTTCAAATTTCATCAAGAAAACGATTAAAGTAGGTTCAATAGTTCTGATAATCAAGTTGCTAGTATTTAGTTCTTAGAGCTCAAGTTGTTTATCATCACTAGAGACTGCTTGTTAGCTGTATCAATAAGAGTATATGGTGAATACATGAATTTCTATGGCATCTTGTACTTTATCGTCAGACTTCAATGGCTTGACTGGATTTTCATTTTGTCAAAATTTTGGTTTCTGTTTTGTTTCTTTTTTCCCCGATTTAATCTTGAATGGCTATTGTTATTTCATGACTGCACTGTGTTTTCATCTGTAATATTGCTTTTAGGTGTTTTTGTAGAAAGTTAGCCAAATCTCCTGCCTTGATTGTTACGAAGTTGCTCTGTCTATGATCTATCTCCGTCGCAAATAAAAGTACAAAAACAAAAGACATCAAGAAAGTTTTTACCTTAAGCTTCAAAAAGCCTGATATTTTTTCTTTTCTTACTGCAGCTAGTTCCTTTATAGGTTCTTCATTGCCGAGAAGGGGCTCTACTCAGAAGAACAAAACAGTTAAGATTATTAGGAAAGTAACTGCTGCAGCCGCTATTGCCACAGCTCCACCGGAGGAGGTTAAGGAGTATGACTTTCCTCTTCCTTCCATTTTATGGTTTTTTGCCCTCGTGTTCCATATCACGAGTTCTCTGCCTTCAGTTTTTCTTCAAAAACAAACTTTTTCCTGTTCCAATAATTATCTTCTTGTAGAGCGGAACAAAGAGGAATAGGCAAACAGCATAAAAAGGATACATCAAATATTACAGCAGTCACATCATTACGCTTAATTTTCTATTACATAAGCAACTTCTGTTATCATTTTCTTGCAAGAGCAGAATCGTAATGTTCATCTATTTCTGAAATCCCTTCCTTCCAGTTGTGAACGTCCTACATGGTCCATGTTTGAACTTGGAAGTGCTCCTGTATTCTGGAAAACCATGAACGGCCTTCCTCCAACTTCTGTAAGTTAGTGCTTGCCGGATTCTTTTCTTTCTCTTGAAGGTGGTGGTAATCTTTCAAGAATGTTTAACTGGAAATCAATGACAGGGAGAGAACCTGAAGATTTTTTACAATCCAGCTGCAAACAAGCTTGTTCCAAATGAAGAATTTGGGATTGCTTTTAATGGTAATTTTTTATTCACCTTATCTCAGCAAGGGGCCACAAATTACTCCAACTAATTTTGTCTGCATGGCACTTGAAGGCAAAATAAGAAGTCATTAGTTTATAAAAATATAGTTCCAGAGAAACAATAAATGTCTGTAAAATTTCCACAAGTAATAACCTGCTACCCGTAGAATGTCATAGAACATCAGATTAAAGCACTCTAAACATTACGAGACGATAGATAGTTTCAAATACCAAAGATATGCATCTCATTGTGTTGTTCTGCATGACAAACAAGTAGTAATTAGTGGTTCCACCTTCGAAAAGATGTCAGATATTGTTTGATCAGTCAGCAATCTGTTACTTTCTGGGATTTACCTTTGCAGGAGGTTTTAATCAGCCCATTATGTGTGGTGGCGAGCCAAGGGCAATGCTGAAGAAAATTCGAGGGAAGGCCGATCCCCCATTTTATACCATCCAGATATGCGTTCCTAAGCATGGTTGGTGCCGTTTCAGAATTTTATTGCTTTATGGGACATTTAAACCTTCTTACTAACTCTCAAATCTTTTTGCAGCTGTGAACTTGATATTCTCGTTCACAAATGGAGTTGATTGGGATGGTCCTTATAGACTGCAGTTTCAAGTTCCCAATGGCTGGCGAAACAAGCCCATCGAATTCTTCAATGAGGTACTAACACGTTTACAGTTTTGATCCTTTAAGAAATTTGCCTCTAGCTTTATATAATAGAGATTGTAGGGAACAATTAAAACACGTTCGCATTTGGCAGGGTCTGGCAGAAGAGTTGAGTAAAGAAGGTGCATGTGAAAAAGCAATTTTTCCAGATACAAATATCATTGTTACAAGATGTGCTATGATCGGCAACTTAACCACTGAAGGGGTAAGTGTGTTCATTGGTTCATCTATCTATGTTCTTCCTTGCTTCCCCTTTTCTTTGAAATTGGACCATCAAGTTTTAATTTACAAATGAAACTTACTTGCAGGGTGATCGTTGCGATCTTGATCTAGTTGTAGGATGCATGGATACTACTTCACATTTGTATAACCCCCTAGCCAATGTAGATGATGGATCCTGCCCAGTTGATTCTGATACGGAAGATTAGCAGCAGCCTGCAGATACTCCTTCGCCTTCAATGTAAATACTACATACAGTTACTGCATACCTGAGGCCTTGCTCGAACTTAATGGCTAATATACTCATGAAATTACAACTTTTTTTTTTTTTTTTAATCTGTATGGAGCAAGTTCTACATAAAATATCTCCAGCTCCATTGACGATGACAACAAACATGAGCTCAGACATGCTGATAATGATTATATAATTTGAAGGCAACATTCCAGTTTGAACCCTCGTTTCAAAGGGAAGGTGTGGATGGACTTTCAGTTTGGCAACCTAATATGAAACATCTATGTTTAGTTTGCATAAAATATTTTGCTAGAAACAGTAGTTAATCTACAATATCATTTAATTATTATTTTTTAGCTAAAAAAATGATGAATTGAATCTCGGTTAATATGAAAAATTGATCCAAGAGTAAATCACTATTTCTATATATATATATATAATATAATATAATTATTTCAACCCCTATCACTATCTTACAGGTACCACCGCAGCCACTGCCAATATTACACCACCATTCCACCGAACAATAATTACCCCATAATATCATAAATGCCATAAGGAAAGAAATTAAAAATATATATATTATGAAAATTTTCTAAAAAAGAATTAAAAAAAAAAACCTACTTTATTTGGATTCAAATTCTCATATGAAGAGAATGATATAGGAAAGTACAATCAAATGTGAAGTTTATTGCATAAAAAAAAATTTAGTACAAAAGTAAACCTGTTGATCTTCAAAAAAATGCAACATAACTTTTTAATCGTTCGACTTCCAAGGGTAGAAAATACCTGTCCATAATTTTCCTTTTTATTTTTTAATCATATCTAACTTTTTATAAAAAAAAAGAGGAAAACTTTTGAAGTGAAGAAAATGCCTTCTTTTTTTTTTTTTTTTGATTTGTCAAGTTGTGATTGGGTTTTTTTTTTCCTGCTATAATAATCTGATGTCGTCTTTTTTATATAAAAATTTAGAATCTTAAAATAACTAAACCTGAAGAAAAGAAGAAGTCTATAATGCCCCTCTTTTTTATTAATTGTCAAGTTGTTATTTGTTTTGTTTCTTTCTGCTATAATAATTTGTTTTCATTTTTTTTTTTTTTGAATTTAGAATCCTAAAATAACTAAAGCTGAAATAAAAAAAGAATTTCATCGTAACTTACTTAAATTATACCTCTCCTAAAAAAAAAAAAATGGAACATGCATGATAAAAAAAGGCAATGCAGTCTAATCAAAAAACGATGGAAAAAAAGAAAAGAACTTGATGAAAAAAATGTTTGACGATTTTTTACTTCCGCCGTATAAGTAAAGTTACTTAAATTTTAAAATTAAAAAAGAATACTACTTTTATTATAACAATGAAATCCCTTTACCTTTTTTATTTTTTTGAAAGAACGAAATGAAACTTTCGTACAACAATATGATACAAAAAATATTATTTCATTCTAAAAATACCTATAAATAAATATGTACAATTTTTTTCTATATTGTTATCTAATAAATATAATTAACAATTAAACATTAAAAGATAGTTCAATTTTTATCTATTTTAAAAGATAGGAATCCTTATTCTATTTTCTAAAATTCAATCCTATTTACAATACAATGATGAATAAAAGAAATTTAGTTCTTTCTTCTAAAGAATCTATAATTTAGATACAAAAATGAGATAAGATCTTACAAAGAAAACTTGCATATGAATTTATGTTTTTGTTTTTATTTTTAGCACAAGATTCCTTTAAAAAAAAACAAATTATTTTTGTTAAAAAAATTATTCTCTATTGGTAATTATAGCAAGATGGTGATAGTAACGGAATAATAATGGTGACAGTGTGTGGTAACGATAATAATAAAGAGATGGAAGCCGAGGATGATTACCAACCAAAAAAACTACTCGATGAAATATCAAGAAGGAAATTAATTAGCTATATTGGTTTTTAGCAATACAAGAAGTAAGATTCGTGAGAATATTTAATTAAAATCAACAGAAAAATACTATTAGAATTTATTATGTAAGAAACATAATTTAATTATTTCAATTTTTTACATACATCATGACATTGACTTTAAATGGTTCTCATACAAGCACTACTTTCTAGATTTACTTAGGTTTTAGAAAACATGAATCATACATATGATATATCCAAAACTACATGCTAAAATAAATAAAACATAAAAATAAAATGATCATGTGCAGATAAAGTACAATGGAAGTGTAAACACTAGTTTTGTTAAATTACACTGGCCATGTTATTTTATGCTATTTTTATTATGAAATAATCCTTCAATGTTGAATTTTAAGAATGACAGCATACTATGTCTAGCGACTGGCAAGAAAAAAATGATAACTAATCCATAGATGATTTACCAATGAAGAAAAAACATGTCAAATTGCACTTCTGCATTCAAAATGAAATTCGTTGTGTGATACCAATTTGTTTTACAAATTATCTATGACGGAGAAAAAAAAACGTTTTCAATGACACTCAGATTTCCCCAAATCCAGAACGGTATATTCTGCCTGGGGTTTTGCATGTAGTTGCACAAAACAATACATGAAGTAGCTTTTCACAATGACGTATTGGTATTGTTCTTGCCAGTGCTCCACTTCACCCTATTGATCCGATACCGTATGGTATGTGCATGCAAAAAAAGCACAGAAGATGACTTGCAGGTTTACCTTTTCTCCAATTAGTGCCTTTTTCTATCACTGCCACTTACATGGCTTCAAACAGAACCCGATGCTCAAGGAGTTCTGCTAAAACACTCCTCATCTTATCAACAGAAACAGGTTTCAGGATAACACCATCCATACCGACCCTCATGCAGTTCTCCTTGGTCATTTTGTCTGTGTTTCCAGTAAGTGCCACTATTAGTGGCCTTTCATGACGTTTCGTAAATTTTTCATGTAAACGGACAGCAGCTTCAAACCCATCTGGCATGCACACATCCATAAACACTACCTTGTGGTCTTGAGAAACAACGTGTAGGCACTCGTCACTTGAGCTTACAGTTGTCACATCGCACCCCAGGTGAGCAAGAAGTCCCTTAGTCACCATCCTGCTAACCCTGTAAACCACAAACAAGTTTGACATTCTCTTACATACTTCAAACATGGTTTGTTCTAATAAACTCTCAATACTATGTCCAATAAAAAATATAAGACAGAGATTCATACCAGTTTTCATTTAAATTCAGCTTGACTCTTAGATTTTAATGTTTCACCTTGACCTATGTCTATGTTGAATTGTTGAGGAACCGTAGCCATTTTACATCCATCATAGAAATTATTAATTCTCTATGCCTTACATAATATGGGAGAAGCTAGCTCTTCAACCACATGATTACCGGCCAAAGCAAGCTATGGAGTCTTGTTACGCAAGAGCATACAAGCCCCAAAGCATTAAAGCATAAAAAGGCTGCTTTTGGTGCACTTGCTGCATGTACATGGCAATCCTCTAGAGGCTATTCAATAAAATATAGATGTCTCGTTTTAGACACTGCTACCAGTCCCACCTGACTAAGTTGCCCTATCCCTTCAATTCAAAGCCCCTTCCCATTAAACCATTTTGTATCAAACACCTCTTCTGTAATGTTTGAAAACATCTCGCCACCTATAAAGAATTTTGATGGGTTAGGAGAAACTGATACTTGATTAAAAGACTAACTAAAAATTTTAAACATCCTCCAAATCACATCTGTATTCCAAGAATGGCTCTAGTCTTTTTATTGTTTCTCGTTCATGAACAAACAGTTGAAAGCTAAGAAATTGAAAGTTCTCTCTCAGACTTCTGAATTCTCTATAAACTAATAATAATTAAACAAATAAAGCATTATCTCTTGATGTGAATGTGTTGTGCTTTCATAGCAGCGCACAAAAAAGTAAGCTGTTTTGACACTGCTCACTTGATAAAGTTTGTTGAATATGGGCATTAGAATCTTCGGCAAGCAGTATATTTGTCCAAAAAATTTGGGATATTTCTTGCTAACCTGATTTAAGAGTTCGTAGGAGACTTTATGACAATGTCTGATTTTACCAGCAGCCGTTTTTTGTTAGAGAAAATGCTAATTTGGGATAGTGGTTTTCCTTCCTTTTTTTTTTTTTTAATTTCCCATATTGTTTTGCTTCCGAGGCTTCCTCCATGATTTGAAATTTCAAATTGAGTTTGTCATTCTTGGCTGGACTGATGTTTTTATTCTCTTGGACGAAGACAGCATCCTTAATTGCTGAGTGGCTCCTTTCTCACCACCTACAATTTTCTTTCTCCTTTTTCTTATTTTGTTTCATATCTTTGTATCCATCCTAGTATTTTTTTTTTCACATGAATTCTGTATGTACTACTTAAACCATCACAGAGCCCAAAAATACCAACTCTATTTTGTACTTGATTCTATTCATCCCACCACACCAGTAGTTCACCCATTCCGTTAAATTTGCCGAATTTTAATTGAGTTCTTCAGAAGTTAGTGTGGCATAAACTTGAAATTGACACATAAAGAATGAAAAGATTGCATTTTACTAACCCGTTATCATCCAAGACAAGAACTTTGAGTCCGGGAAAAGCTGTCTGTCCATGACTTGCTTTAGGTAGGAATCGGTTCTTAGGTTCATTTGCATGCTCCGGAATCCCAAGCTTTACAATGAAGATAGCCATGCATCCCTTGCCTAGACCTTCACTTTCAATCCAAATATGTCCCTCCATAAGATTTACAAACCTGATCACAAACAAACAAGATGAAGATATAATAGTCAACTTCAATGTCAGTAGAATTCAGAAAGCCAAACCATGGTCCAAAAAGTCTAATTAAAATCATTGAAATCCTGAGAGCTAATACAAAATTGCGTGCGAAAAAAACAATGAAAACGAATTACCTCTTACAAATTGCAAGTCCAAGTCCACTGCCACTGGAATTTCTGGCTGCCAAAGTTTGAGTTTGTGCAAATTTTGTAAATAACTTAGGAATATCTTGAGGGTTAAT